CCACCGTTCCAATACGGATTAATTCCGTAAGTCAAGGGTCCACTGTACTGACGAGAGACATTCCCTAGCTGCCTTAAGCCACACACATCTATACAACACACGTTGCACAGAACGACATCATGCAATGACTCAACATTACTTTGAGGGGCTTTTTTTCTCACAACGAAACACAAGCAAACAAAAACACACCGCTCGGCAGCACTTACTTTAAGGACTCCTCGTGGTCTCCCAAGTTATAATAGAGCTTGCTCAGCTTAAGGAAAGCAGCCCTGTTGTCGTTACGCAGCTTAGCCGTGGGTTTGAGGTCCATGATGGCTTTGTTGTAATCGCCAAGGTGAAGGTAGCACTCGGAGCGCAGCTCTTTCGCTTCTGGATTCCACGGGGAAATCTGAAGCAAAGTTCAGGAGGCATGGTTGGTATGTGACAACTTGGGTCAGCAGCTTGTTATTCCTTTAAAATGAGGTCTTGTTGCTCTTAAAAAAAATAGCAAAGCTTTTTTCCCCCACACGCTTTTCTGGAGTGCGGTCCCACGCTTTTAGATGCAAGAGCTTCATCAACCTATGAGGAGGTGGATGGCCATCGTTCAAGGAAACGCATGCCAAATAAAACCGGGTTGTCTTTAAAACAGCACAACCTTCTTCGGTTACAGTCTTGTTGCTTGCGACCACGCGCAGAAGGGAAACTGTGGCTAGCTGCTGTGGCTAATTGATGAGGTGAAGACCACATGGGCCAACATGCAACCAGCACTTCATCAATTAGCCACGTCCACAATTTCCCTTCTGCACATAGTTAAAAGTCAGAGGATTTCAGCTTCTGTTGTTTTTGATGCAACAGACTAGCACAGCTCTCATGTTTTCTCTAGCCACTGTTCTTCTCCCCACATATCCCACTTTGCTTGTAATGGCCGATTTAGACAAAAAGCTACCTGAGGTGCCTTCAGAGTATCTGATTCCAACATACTTTGCCCCATTAAAAAAGATGAAAAAAAATTGAAATAATGTGAGATTGAAATACCGATTTTTCTGATTGATTGGAATCAATGACCTTGGGAGGTGGTGAGCATTCCAGCGCTAGAGCCATGGCCTTATTAGCCCCTTCCAACTCCATTATTCTATCGTTCCATGATTTTTCTGTCTTACAGGAATGCAAAACTTAGAATGGAAGCAAAACTACATACTGACAAGAGACATTCCCTAGCTGCCATAAACCACACAATCTATACAACACACGTTGCACAGAACAACATCATGCAATGACCCACAAGCAACGAAACATAAGAAAACAAAAACACACCGCTCGGCGGCACTTACTTTAAGGACTCCTCGTGGTCTCCCAAGTTATAATAGAGCTTGCTCAACTTAAGGAAAGCAGCCCTGTTGTCGTTACGCAGCTTAGCCGTGGGTTTGAGGTCCATGATAGCTTTGTTGTAATCGCCAAGGTGAAGGTAACACTCGGAGCGCAGCTCTTTCGCTTCTGGATTCCACGGGGAAATCTGAAGCAAAGTTCAGGAGGCATGGTTGGTATGTGACAACTTGGGTCAGCAGCTCGTTATTCCTTTAAAATGAGGTCTTGTAGCACTTAAAAAAACCAGCAAAGCTTTTTTCCCCCACACGCTTTTCTGGAGTGTGGTCCCACGCTTTTAGATGCAAGAGCTTCATCAACCTATGAGGAGGTGGATGGCCATCGTTCAAGGAAACGCATGCCAAATAAAACCGGGTTGTCTTTAAAACAGCACAACCTTCTTCGGTTACAGTCTTGTTGCTTGCGACCACGCGCAGAAGGGAAACTGTGGCTAGCTGCTGTGGCTAATTGATGAGGTGAAGACCACATGGGCCAACATGCAACCAGCACTTCATCAATTAGCCACGTCCACAATTTCCCTTCTGCACATAGTTAAAAGTCAGAGGATTTCAGCTTCTGTTGTTTTTGATGCAACAGACTAGCACAGCTCTCTCAATTTTTCAGGGGAAAAATGTGTTGTTTAAGAACAGCCCTCCGGCTGCTACTCTGTGTGGCCTTTTCCTTTTTTTTTGTTGGCCTCAGAGTTTTTAACCTAGTTCCTCGCACTTGAGGAACACATTAATTCAGTCCACAGAAACGTTAAGAAGGGGAATAAGACATGGAACACACGTGGGAAAGAAAAGAATGCTTTCCAACCCTGCTTCCCCCAGCAATGAATCTGTTCTTGCTGAAATGAGACAGCAGAGTCAAATCCCCTTGTATATTTTGGGAGCATGGCAGCTCCGACAGGATGAATGAAGGACGAAGTACCTCAATTGCTCGATTTAGAATATAAATTGCTCCTTGGTAGTTCTTCCACTGAAAGGCAGTCTGAGCTTCTTGCATGGACAGTTCTAGCTCCGTGACCCGGGCAAGCTGGCTTCGGGCCTCCGTGTTCTCCGGGTTGCTCTTCAGCTGATCAAATAATGAAAAGTCAACAAAAACACACTCAGCATTAAGGAAGTGCATTGCGTTCAAGAGACTTGCTGAACTCAAGCAAATCTGGAAAGGCCCACCTAGGCAGGGAGGAGACAAAAGATCCTGGCCCACGGATGGAATAAAATGGGATGAGATCATTCCCAGAAGTGTCCAGAGTGGGGAGAAATTCAAACCCCCCAAATCTTGCACACACACATTACAGAAGAAACTTTCAGATGGTATGCATCCTTTCTCTCTGGGTCACTGGGATAAGTCTTTGTATACCAGAGCAAAACTGGTACACTTCTCCCTTGAACTCCAGAAGTCTGAACAGCACCGTTTTGGGTATACAGGGATTTCTTTCAAGGCATAAACAAATACTGTGCTCCGGCCACCCAGGACCCATGAGTAACACTGGTGTCAAAGTGGTATACTAGCTCCCAAAGACATCTTCTCTAATCCAGCTTCTAGATCAGAAGGTCATAACGGCCTTTAAGGCTCATTACAGCCAGTACTGTATGGAAAGGATGGTCAATGCTATGGAAAAGCATGCATATAGAGAGAATTGTTCTGTATATATACATTGCTTTGTAGTTACGCTTTTGCAGCATAAGAGTTAGACATGGATTTGAACTACACATTAGTCCAGCGCTTCTCACCTTAGTGTTGTTGAAAGGAGAAGTGTACCTGCGTAAGTGCAAGACTTTAATCCAAAAATTGAAACATGGGCTGCCACCCACTTCTTGCTAGCGAGAACTTGTTCTGGGGTGCCCATGCGCACACACATTCATGCCTGGGGACTGGTACTGGAGGCAGGCGCTCCTGGCTTTACTGACGGCCCAGAGGTGGGTTCTGATGCTGGCCCCTGAACTGTCTGCCCCTGAACGGGCATGCCTCAAGAGCCATGATCAGAGATGGGTGAACAGGTGCCCAGGGATTCCCACCTCCACCGACAGGTGTTTACATAGAAGTAGCGCCCATAAGAGGTGGGGCAGGGAGGCTGGGGTGCTGCCTCTGAACGGGGGCTGGCTGGAGGAGATGGGGCTGGGAACTGCTTAAACTTTTTTGTCCTATCTCTAGCTCTGATTTCTGGACAAGGGCCAGTTGCTTACCACAGCTTCAAAGTCCTGCTTGGCCTCTTGCGTGCTGCCTTGCTTCAAGAGGATGTTGCCCCTCTGTAGTCTTGCCTGCGGGGCAGAAAAGGACCGCTCCGTCAGCACAAGAGGAAGCCTCGAGGGGCCCATTTGTCTGGTCCACAGAGTCTTTGGACAGCTCTGCCAAGGGGGTGTCCATCCTTTCCCCCTCGACGAGGCCTTAACACTCATCTCCAACTTACCGCTAGGAAATCCGACTTGAGCTCAATAGCTTTTGAAAGGTCTGGGAGTGCTGATTTGAACTTGCCCATGGCCAAGTAGATGGTCGCTCGCTTGTAATAGGTTAGGTAGTTTTGGGGATCAATTTCTGGGAACATTGTGAAAAACAAAATATCAGCATTTGTGTCTTGAGTCAGAAATGTATGGCAGGACCATGGTATCTGTGGAGAAACAGTTCCAAGCCACTCCCCGGGATAGTGAAAACTGTGGATAATAGTGAACCCTATACAGTGGTACCTCAACTTACGAATGTCCCTATTTGTGAACAATTCGAGTTACGAACGGCTCCCTTTGCAAAAAGTTGCTTCGACCTCCAAATGGAGCCTCGACTTACGAACCAAAAGAAAAACAAAAAACCTTTCCTGCCCTTTTTTGACCTAAGTTCACCTTAGGTAAAAAAAAAAACCCCCTAGTGGTAGGGTACGGATTAACCGGCTTTGCATTAGTTCCTATAGGAACTAATGCTTCTACCTACGAACAGTGCCTTGACATACAAATTGAAAACATCAGATACTGATTAAATTGTTTTCAATGCATTCCTATGGAAAAGTTTGCCTTGACTTACGAACTTTTCAATGTACGAACGCCATTCCAATATTGATTAAGTTCGTAAATCGAGGTACCACTGTACACAGCATGGTCTCTGGCTCCGTCTAGTGGCCAGTTCTGGTAATTACATCATAGAAATATGTATTTCTGTGTATTTTTTCATTTAATATACTGATCCTGCAGATTCGGGGGTGGGGTGGGGGTCCTACTGCACTATGCCTCCCATTCTACTGTCTCTGCTGATGTTTGAGAAAGCTTATACCTAAAGGAAGCTTACTTGTGACCATCTGGCAGCATGAAAGAAGCATGAGTCCGCTCCCAATTTGCAGAAGGCTTCCCTGCCTACTTGTCTTGAGGACATACATCCTGGTCACATGGGGACAGGCAAGTGGCTAGATTTTTCAAGTCTTCTCTCATTGTTGCTTGGCAAGCCACAAAAGTTGCAAGGCAGAACTCATGGTTTCAGGCCAGGACTGCACAGACCTGTGTTTTAATCCTTAGCTAAAGTTTACCAAATGGCTTTGGGCCAGCCCCTGTCTCTCAGCACGACCCATATTGCCGGGTTCTTGTGAAAGTAACAGAAGGCTGGGTCAGAACTGTTTACATTCGGCCAAGTTCATGGGAGAAAGCACAGGATTAGAATGTAAATAAGGGTGAAGGATGAATGTGCATCCAATTAAAAAAACCAACAACACTTCAGCAATTAACGAGATGTGTTTTAGCCAGCTAACATACTGGTTAATGGAAGGAGAGGGGACTTAGTCCCTTCATATATTTTGGATTAAAACTCCTATAACCCTTCCTCCTTTTTTGCAGCTAAAATGAATAAACTGAGAATATTGTACTTCAGGTGTATGATGATGATGAGGAAGGCGCTGGAAAAGACAGTAACAAAGAGAAAGGTCAAAAAAAGAGAGAGGAAGATCCAATATCAGATGGACCATGGCTTTTAGTTTGCAAAATCTGAGCAGGGCTCTTAATGAAAGGAGGCGCTCAATGCACAAGGTTGCCATTCACTTGGAAGGCACTTGGTATCCCATAAAAACAAGCCTCCTTCCATTGGCCATGCTGGCTGGAGCTTCTGGGGGTTCAAATTCAGAACATCTTCCCCATGCTTCGACTAACTTGCAGGTTAAGAACAATAACCCCCAAACACACTCTGGCTGTAGACGACATATGCCTCAGCAATACACAGGTTTCACTGACTCTCAAGAGGCATTCTTTCTCCAGTGCTTCCCACCAGAGATTTTTAGAAATTCTTGTACAGGAGGACTCCTATGTGTGCGGTATCAATATCCGCAGATTCACTTATCTACAGTCTGAAAATATAAAAAATATTAGAAAAATCCAGAACATATACTCTGTTTCCCCAAAAATAAGATCTAATCTGAAAATAAGCCCTAGTATGATTTTTCAGGATGCTCGTAATATAAGCCCTACCCCCCCCCCAAAATAAGCCCTAGTTAAGTGAAACCCCGCCCTCCACCCTTGTGCAGCATTGTGCAGCAACCAGAAGAAGATAACATGACTGTATTTGAATAAATGTAGATTGCTACACATGGAAAAAACAAAACATGCCCTGAAAATAAGCCCTGATGCATTTTTGGAGCAAAAATTAATATAAGACCCGGTGTTATTTTTGGGGGAACATGGTATGTACGTATTTCTAATGACAAAGTTACCAGAACTGGCCAGTAGAGGGAGTCAGACTATGCTATTTATATAGTGTACACTAATTTATTTTGATATAATTATCAGAACTGGCCACTAGAGGGAGGCACAGACTATAGTGTTTGCTATTTTAAAATAGTATTCCTTATAATCCTCATTTTTGCATCCAAGAAATAACGGGGCTTGCAACTGATCCCCCTGCAGTTAGGGGGTCCTACTGTACTAAAAATAAAACTCTTTTGTAAAAGCTTGCTAGTCAAATAACTAGGAACAGGTTTTCATTAACCAATTGATTTTTTTTTACAAAAATCTCACTGATGCATTAATTAAATACTGCAATAACAGGCACGACAACAACCATCATTGTGCTTATTACAGATATATGTTATCTGAGTCTTTCTAGCACAGAACTCTCCAGCTGTCTTGGAATATAACTCCCAGCATTCCTCATCAATAACCGCAGAGAATTATAGTTCAAAAAGTCTGAAGGGAAGGCTAGAATACATTCATCCCACAGCTGACTCCAGCAGTTATACCAAAACCAATCCATCTCTTCCAATGGCTTTTCACCTAAGATGAAGGGAGAGTTCAGGAAATCATGTGAGCCATCAATACTGACAGGGCATTATCAGCCAGCTGTCGTCTCTGACACTAAATGCCTGCACTATCTGCTCAGGAGTTGCAACCAGAGTTACTCACCCACGGCAGAGTGGTAGTGAGAGAGGGCCTCAGCCAGCTGCCCAGCTGCCAACAGCTTCCGCCCCATTTCCAGGTGGTTTTCGATCTCAGCTTGCCCGGTCGCCAGCAAACCTTTAGACAGGAAACAGGAGAGACCAATGGCAATTGTAAAGAGGAAGACAAACAGGAGCAGGGAAGAATCACACTGCGGGCTGAAGAGTGTCTGCTTCGCACAAGACTATGAGTCTTGATTTGTCTCCTAGTACTTTCACACAAAGTAAAAGTATGGTGCTAGAGGAGAGACTTGAGAGTCCCCTGGACTGCAAAGAGAACAAACCTATCCGTTTTGAAGGAAATCAACCCTGAGCACTCATTGGAAGGACAGATCCTGAAGCTGACGCACTAAGACTTTGGTCATCTCATGAGAAGACTCCCTGGAAGAGACCATGATTTGGGGGAAATGGGAAGGCAAGAGGAGAAGGGGATGAACAGAGGACGAGATGGATGGACAGGGTCATTGAAGCGACCAACATGAATTTGACCCAACTCCGGGAGGCAGTGGAAGAGAAGAGGGCCTGGCGTGCTCTGATCCATGGGGTCATGATGCGTCGGATACACGTTAACAACTAAACAACAACACTTACACAAACTAATCAGACACTCTTTCTCTATCTGACCTATCTCACATACAGTACTGAGAGATCTATACAAGCTGCTTCGAGCTCTCTGGAGAGCAGGCAGAATATAAAAGCAAACCAATAATATATATAGTTAGCAGGGGATCTGAACAATCTCTTCTGCAACCTAATTAGTTTCCAGGGTTTGTGAACTTGTTAATTTCAGTTTTAAGATGTGGGGGGTTGAGTTTTAAGAGAACTAAGAATGCTACAGTGGCGCTGGAGGTTTCAAACTACTTGATCGTATTAGACTGTGCTGCTTTCACAAAAAAGAACAGAAAAGTCCTTCTCCTCTTGGGCTTTTATCAGCAAGTGAACCATGGATTGTCTTCTTTTGTTTCTGCTAACCCAGAATGTTTATGGGACACAAACACACAGAGAAAGCAACGGAGCAAGATTTTATTCAACATATGATCCATACACAAAACAAGGGCAATGTGTAATTAAAAATTCCAAACAGAACCATGCCAGATTTTTTTAAAGAGCACTGTATATGGAAGTGGGTTTCCAGCATTTCAATTTACATGCAAATACGTACAATCCCTAGGTGAAATGAATTGGGTCAAGGACAATAAATTCCCTTTATACTGGAAATGGGTGCATTTCAGTTGTAACCCTTGTGAGCTAGTCAAGATCCCATTAGGTACAATGAGTACAAGTATTGTTTATTATTTATTTGTTTTAAATATATTTCTCTTTAAAAGGACCCAAGTATGTCAGATGATGGCTGGTAACTTGGGTGACTATGTGTCTCATAAACGGCCATGACAGTGACTCCCAATCTCAAATAGTATGGAGAGGATAAAAATAGGGAGCATGAGTATGCGCATCACCGTGAGCTCCCTGGAGGAAAAGCAAGATGGAGAAGTAATAAATAATTTTTTTGTTTTATTTATAGGCCACCTCCCCCCCCCAATAAGGGGTCCCAAGGCAGCTTACAGTATTAAAAAGAATAGGATTAAAAACCATATATGTTAAACATTCAAAACCAATTAAATTACATACTGTGTACAGTTAAATGGATAATGACAAGCAAGCAAGCATTCAAAACTATAAATGTGCCCAGAGGTTGAACACTGAGGACTAGAAACACACCAAGGCTGAGTGGGCGGAGCTTACCAGGGCTTGCGAAGGCGGAGCCTATAAAAAGAGACACCCAAGAAAGGGGCGGGGCTGTGGGAAAGGGGGCAGGGCCTGACGGTAGGTCAAGAGGCCGGGGCAGAGCCTGAGAGGGGGTTTAAAGAGGAGGAGGAGGAAGGCGAGGCACCGACAGGCCGACGGCCCACCAGGCGAAGACGGGGAGATGAAAAACAAGCCCCCTTCCTAAAGGGCGAGGAGGAAAAGAAGGGCAGGCCCCCTCGGTTACCATGGTTACCTGGCAACTGTAGGTCCAGCAAGACGCAGAGCAAGGACGCGGCCCATAGCAACCTCCTCTCGCAGCCTCCAGGGCCCAAACCGGGGCTGTCGCCGGACCTGCCGAGCAGCCCGAGGCCGCGCCACACCGGGTGCTGCCCGGACTCCATGTCCCAAGCTCCAGGAACCGCTCACTTCCGCATCCGTTGCTTCCTGCGGCGGAAACGATATCCGGCCTCTCTAGCCGTCCTCCTTGTCTTTCCTTTCGTTCCGCTCTGCCTTTTCCTCAGCGGTAAAAAAGGGGAAGGGACCGCTCTAGGAGGCGCCCTTTCGGTGGGCTCAGGCAAAGTTCGGCTCTTCCGAACGGAGGGAGGGAAAGGTGCGAGAAAGAGCAGGAAGCGCGCCTGACCAATCAGCTTCCTCTCGCGGGACGCCGTAGAATTTCGCTAGCCAATGAGCGAGAGAGGAAATCCAAGCGCCCGGCGAGGAATAGAGACGGTTCTACGTCACGTGGAGCAATTTGTGGTCGTCAAGACGAGGGGAAATCTTGAAACACGCGTGTCAATGAAAAACCGGCCGGTGTGGGGATGATGGTAGGGAGCACTTGTAAGAAAACAATTAAATATGGATAATCATCTTCATGGTAGTTGCAATTTATTGAATTTAAATTGATATGGCTCCCTGCATCATGCGAAGTAATTTTGAAGACCGTGCTGCTGAGCATATGCAGAGTGCCGCTAGTTTGCAGACCAACCGCTGCAGCTAAACTCAAAAGGCAGTTTTAAAAAGCCGCAAACAGTCTCTGCGTATCTTCCTTTGTGCCTGTTCAAAATATTTTGGATATTCTTTCTCTTCCTCTGGATTGACTCGCTGACAGAAAGATCTCCATGTTCCTTTTTAAAGAAAACCACCGATTAGCTGAGAGGTAGGCTAAGGATGAGTGATTTGACTCAACATGATTGCACAGTGCTTATCCTTGAAGAAGGAGGAGAAAGCAGGAAACACGGGAGAGATACACCATTGTACACTTACGATGCTCCTTGTTTTTAAACATAATCATCTGCCACTTTCTGTTTCTCAGAGCAGGGATATTTTGGATGTGATGGAGCCGGGCTGCAAGCGCCGGAAGACAGCAGAGCCCGAGGACATCTCTACGTGGGACCTGCTGCCGGTTCTTTCTGAGAGAGAATCCCAGGGAGTCACCTTAATGCCAGTCTACGCTGCTCCCATCCTGAACAAGAAGGAGGCCTGCCGGCTGGTCAAGGAGATTTCTGCTGTTTATCCCTTGGGGGACTTCCCCCATTTGAAGCGTGTCCGTGCCTGCCTCTCTAGGGAGAGCCCTCATCCGCTGGAGGTGATCTTGTGTTTAGCCAGTTCTGAGCAGCAGCAGGAGAATGGTTTGCCATCCCTTGCCGAACTTTTCGCCAACGGCCGGGTCAACCTGTGCGGCTTGGGACAGCCGTTTTTGACTCGAGTTCCAGTTTGCCCACCCTTGACCCGTCCCCAGTATGAGGAAGCTGCTTCTCACTGGCCCGTCTCCTTCCACGAGAACAAACGCGTCAGCCAGGCGCTTAGCGGGAGCCTCTTCACGTCCTTAGAGAAGTCTGCCATGCAGAAACACATGGAGTTGGCCATCCAGGCAGCAAAACGGGGAGCGAGGCAGGGCATGAGACCTGTGGGTGCTGTGGTGGTTGACCCAGCCACCGGGAACGTTCTGGCGGTCGGCCATGACTGCCGAGATGGGCTAAACCCATTGCTCCACGCTGCCATGGTGTGCATTGACCTGGTGGCCCACAGCCAGGGAGGTGGGGCATACCTTTATAATAACTACCCTGCTTGCACTTTTCTTAAGCCGGACAGCACAGTGGACCATTCCTCTTCTTTTGGTGATGGGTTGCCGTACATCTGCACTGGCTATGATATGTACTTAACACGGGAGCCGTGCCTCTTGTGCGCCATGGCGTTGGTGCACTCGCGAATTGAGCGGGTATTCTACGGGGTGCCGACCCCGCATGGAGCGCTGGGGACCAGCTACCACATCCACAGCCGTCAAGAACTTAATCATCGCTTCGAGGTGTTCCGCGGTATCCTAGAGGACCAGTGTCACAGCTTGGCACAGATGTCGGTTCTTAAAGAATCTGAACGAGACAGTGTTTGAGGAAGAGAGAGATGGCTTTATTTTTGTGTTTCCTTTTTTTCATTTGTTTTTAAAATGAATTGTTGTTCTTTAGTCATTAAGTTGCATCCGACTCTTTGTAACCCCATGGACCAGAGCATGCCAAGACCTCCTGTCTTCCACTGCTCCCAGAGTTGTGTCAAATTCATGTTGGTCGCTCTGGTGACATTGTCCATCCATCTCGTCCTCTGTCGTCCCCTTCTCCTCTTGCCCTCACACTTTCCCAACTTCAGGGTCTTTTCCAGGGAGTCTCTTCTTCTCATGAGATGGCCAAAGGATTGGAGCCTCAGCTTCAGGATCTGTCCTTCCAGTGAGCACTCCAGGTTGATTTCCTTCAGAATAGATAGGTTTGTTCTCTTTACAGTCCAGGGGACTCTCAAGGGTTTCCTCCACCACCACAATTCAAAAGCCTCAATTCTTCAGCGGTCAGCCTTCTTTATGGTCCAGCTCTCACTTCCATGCATCGCTATTTTAAATTAAAGACATGTGTTATTTTAAGAACAGTTGTTTGTGGTATTAGAGCCTTGGAAGGCTTTGAAGTCAACTTATGGTCCTTTAAAAACCATTAATATGTTTGAAAAGAGTTTGGAGGTTCTTGAGAATGACTAATTGCCTTACAATACACACTGGGAGATAAACAGAAGGGAATGGTGGCTGTGTTAAGTTTAAGGGGTTGCTGATGAGACTTGAAATAAAAACATTAGAATATGGAACAAACACACCCTTTTCCAGCATATACTCCATTTCATTCCTCCAGTCTGCCATTTTGGGGCAACAGAACATGAAATGGATTTCTCTGGCCCCTTGCTGCTTACACCTTCTTTGTTAGAAGTTTGTTCATGTTTCTTTAAACTTAGGGTTTCTGTTAAGCATACTGGTAGCTTCATTTATTGTATAAGTGCTGCTGCTTGGTCTACATAAGGAACCATGCTGCAGAGAGTTAGTTTATTGTTATATATAGCAGAATTGGGCCAAATTGGCCCTTCAGACAACTTACTGCCGATCCCATCTGCCTTAGCTTTCATTGCTTCTTGGTGAGGAATGCTAGCAGTTGTAGTCCAGGGAATATCTGGAAGACTACCTGCTTTTTCTGTTTGGCATGTATAGCATGGGAGACGCCTAAGCTGTAGCCACACAGTAAGCTCAAGGAGATGCACACCTTTTAGTGCAAAAAAAAATTGTCAATGTTGATAAATCCTTACTAAGAAGCTCCTTCTCCAAAATGGGGGGTAATTAAAAGATGTGGCCAATCCACAGGTCGGAAAAGTGGCTCTTTTTGGACTATGACTCCCAGAATCCCCAAATCAGCCTGACCACGTGATTTGTTGGATTCTGGGAAATATATGTTCATCCCCGTTTCCAAGCCTTAGAGCCAGCGTTTGTCCGTAGACAGTTTCCGTAGTCATGTGGCCAGCACGACTAGACACGGAATGCCATTAGCTTCCCACCATGGTGGTACATATTTATCTACACGCATTTTCATGCTTTCGAACTGCTAGGTTGGCAGGAGCTGGGACAAGCGACGGGAGCTCACTCCGTCGCATGGATTCGATCTTATGAATGTCTGGGTCGTGCACAGTGAGTAAGGGGTTAGTACAACTATATTCGCTTTTGTAAATCTGGACGTTGAGAATCTAAAGGTGATATTTACTGGCAGAGAAGAACAGCATTAGAAGTGGGCTTCCACTGATGTAGCTTTCAAAGGTTGAAATTCAGCAGTAAAGAAGAACTACGAATAGGCCAATTGAATCCCTGGACCTTACACTGATGGGTTAACTCATCAAATCCACACTGATTCAGTGGGACTACTCTAATTCCAACTTAGTCCTGGGTTTCAGCTGGCATTTGGTAGCATGGATGAAGGGTTGAAGGGTTTGAGAGAGAGACTAGCCAGATGTGCAGATTCACCCCGAGATATGCTGCAAGTGTTAAGTGCTCAAAGTACAGCACCCCGAAGAGAAATAAAATAGAGCTAAAATGTAAACAGACAGCTTGGCCAGGCCATGAGGAGGTGAGGCAGGGACAATCTAAATTGAGCGAGACCGTTGCTCCCCAAAGTGCCAGAGAAAATGTGGAAGCCTTTGGGTTTTACAAAACATCTGTAGTTGGCCCTGTGGGTGGGCATAGCCAGTGGTGAAGGATGTTGAGAAATCCAGGGGAGCTGCGGGTTACACAGTTCTTAATATTTATTGATTAAAAAAAAAAGGATGAGGAGGAAATGGGTGATTCCACAAATTAAGATGCGTGTTGCAGCCATGAGACCCACCATGAGGTTCGATCCCCTGATGGGGTTTGTAACCTACGAAACAAAACTCTTTGGCAGGAGCTTTGTAAAGTTAAAGCAGTTCCTTGCCCAGATTGAACTGACCTCGTCGTGCCAGCTCTCCGTGTTTGAAGGAAATGTAGCTGGATCTGCCATGCATGATGGAGTGGGTTGTGGTCCATGAAGGGTGAGGAAGGCCCACACCCATTGCCAAGGTTTAACACAGTGCTTAGAGAACCCGAATGCCAGAAAAAAAATAGCAGTAGCCCCTGGCAATGGAAAAAGTGATAAGGTTCAAGAGACCAATGTCCGTCCTGACCTTATTGTAACTACGGTTCCTGCAAAAATATATAAAAGAACAGCGAAGTCCCAACAGGGAGAGGGAGCTCCCCCAGAGGAAAAGTTTGGGAAGACTGTGTTACACCTCAAATGATGGTGAATGTCCTTCTTCCTCTTCATCCCACGAGAACGTCCATGGTGGTTATAGGCCATCAAGTTGCCCCCCCGATGCACGATGACCCTATGAATGGACAATCTCCAAAATGTCCCATCTTCAGCTGCCCCGCTCAGCTCTTGCAAACTTAAGCCTGTGGCTTCCTTTTTAGGCAGTCAATCCATCTCAGGTCTGGTCTTCCTCTTTTCCTCTTGGCTTCCACTTTGCCTATCCTTATTGTCTTTTCCAGAGAATCATCTCGAGATGCCCTCAAGGTCAGTGGTCCCCTACCTTGGGCCTCTCATCTCGGGATGTCCTCAAGGTCAGTGGTCCCCTACCTTGGGCCTCCAGATGTTCTTGAACTCCCAGAAATCCTGGGAATCAGAGGTGATGGTGAAGGCTTCTGGGAGTTGTAGTCCAAGAACATCTGGAGTCCCAAGGTTGGGGACCACTGCTCAAGGTAACCAATGGACAGGGTGAATTACAGAAGCACAATCTCATTGCTGGAATGAGATGCCGTAGCAGTCCCTAGCAGAATTTTTGGAGCCCCTTGACTCAAATAAATTCTGGCCAATGAAACTGGTTATGCTTTAAGGTGCCCCCAAACTCTTGTTGTTTTTGACCGAGGCTGACCTTCCAACCAATAGATTTGTCCTCCTTTCCTTTCAACGCACAAGAGGCTGCGCTGTGTCTCTTCTTAAGAATGCAGTGTCAGGTTTTTGAACGCGCAGCAGAGTGGCGCAGCGGAAGCGTGCTGGGCCCATAACCCAGAGGTCGATGGATCGAAACCATCCTCTGCTAGCTGGATTTTTTTTAAAATTTAGAACATATTTTTAGAGGGGTGAAATCGATCGGTCATTTACTGAACACTGAACGGAAGTTGAAAAATAGATGGCCTTTCCATTAATATTTCTTGCCAAACCTTTTCCTGCTTTGGCAGAGGGCCAAGTCCCATTATAGTGCAACGGAGCGAATGCTTCAGATGTACATCGCTTTTTTTTCCAGATAGGATCGCCTGCGTTCCCCTCTTCCCAAAACCATGTTCATTTTTAGCATTACTTTGAGTTGAGCATAATGACAATGTAAGTAGCCTTTGCATAAAAATAAAAATTGCATTATGCATGAAAACGTCCCTTAATCGCGTGAAAGTGCTCCGGCGATTGTCATTTCGGATGGATTTTTTTTAATGCACGCTTTTGTAGAAGTCTTTTTTTAAAAAAATATATATTTTAAAAAGAACAGCCACGGAGCGGCTCGCCCTGCAACCGAGACGCGCTCTAAGTTTTACTTTAATCAGATACGGAAGTTAAAATGGAAAGCCATACTTCTCTCTTTGCCAGTTCCTTAAAGACTTCAACAGAATCAAGGAAACTTGAAGAAAAAAGAAAGTGGGGCGGTGTGTGTGGGGGGAAACCACTTTGAATTAAAAGTTGGTTGTGAATTAAAAAATAAAAAGTTACATGCGCCCGAACAGGGACTTGAACCCTGGACCCTCAGATTAAAAGTCTGATGCTCTACCGACTGAGCTATCCGGGCTCTCTATGAAAAGTGAGCTGCGTGCCCATAGTATCCATATTCCTTGTGAATGTTCTCTGTAGCCTCTTTGGGTTTTTTCCCCTCCCGATTGCGCGCGGACTCCAAAATGCTTTCCAAACGAAGAAGAAAATAAAGACTAAATGCAACATTTATACTGAAAAATTGCAAGATTGATTCCCTTACTAAGAGTGGGTACAGAGAACTACATAAGAGGGTCAGGATGGCCGAGCGGTCTAAGGCGCTGCGTTCAGGTCGCAGTCTCCCCTGGAGGCGTGGGTTCGAATCCCACTTCTGACACTCAAACTTTATTTTGTGGACAGACCCATACAGGGACAAATAATGGATTGGATACATTGTCTGCTTTTCCACGTGGGGGAGAACACAGCCCGAGTTTTCAGTTTTAGGATAAACTGCCAGCAGATCTGTACAGAATTAACTAGTGCTATTACAGTATTTGAAACCTTTCTGCTGTTGGACAACCTACAACCAAACCAGAACCGGTTTAGAAGCCAGCTTTGCCTCTTAAAGGAGCGCTCATTTCTCACCAGTGGGGAGAAGCTGTTTCAAAAAGTCCCCATGGAATTCCGGGATATCCCATAATCCAGGATATTAATATAGTAGTTGAGACTAGACAAAAATGCTCCCCCTAAACACAACACAAACACACACAATAAGGGCGGAAGTTCCTTCCTTTCAAAAATGAGCATGCTTGAAAAAGTGAGATTCTGGGGAGGAAGCATCACGGATCACAGTGGGTGGAGTTGTGGCCCATGCTGCAACATTTTGCTGCAGAGGGCCGGTTCTTTGTATCTGGGCTGTTTCTCTTTCCTTTCGGTGCATTAGTTATTCTTCATATTGTCTGAACTGGAAAATTCCTCGTCCTTGTTTCTCCTTTCGGTTAGAACTCATGATATAAATAAAACATCAGAAAAAGAACGGTCAAAAGCCTGATCAAAGACTCCCCTTATGTTCCCAGCAAAAAAAAAAACCCTGGCATCATTCTCTAATCGAAGTGATTAAATACTCCTATATCGCCATCTGGTGTTCAATTTTATAAATACAGTTGGGCTTCCCAGATTCAACATTCAAGCGGGGAAGTATTTTCACAGAGCTGGCCGGTTAGCTCAGTTGGTTAGAGCGTGGTGCTAATAACGCCAAGGTCGCGGGTTCGATCCCCGTACGGGCCAGGTGGTTTCTTTTCAAATATCCTTCTCTTTTCCCCCCTCTCTGTTGCTCACTTCGTGATAAAAATATTTCTCCTGCCTAACTATACTACTCTTTAATTTTGGCAGCCCCTTTCGCCCCCGGAGCGGAATGGGAAAAATAAACAGTGATTCCTTTTCTCTCTGTGCAAATTCTCTCCCCCAATTATGAGGCCCTCTTTAATATACAAGTGAATTTTGGATTTCCAATGGGGATCCAGCTGCACTGCCTTTAAAAACGAAGTGTATTAAAACGGGTATTAATCATTAAGCAAAATCGATTTAAAAAAAACCACATCACTTTCAGGGAAATAACCCATCCAAAGAGGATCACAACCTCGTGCACAAGTGCCTTCTTAGCGCAGTAGGCAGCGCGTCAGTCTCATAATCTGAAGGTCCTGAGTTCGAACCTCAGAGAGGGCAATGCTATTTTTCCCACCGCAAAGACAAGGAAGGTTTTAAATAACTTTGTCCTTTTCCCGATTTCCACAGGAGTATCCCCTCTTAGCCTGGCTCATGATGTTGGCAAAACAAAGGGGAGGAGGGAAGAAAATCATTTATTTTTAGTTATTTTATTTGATTTATTTATTTGATTTATATCCCGCCCATCTGGTCTGTTCGACCACTCTGGTTATGTTGAAATCATAAAATACTGCATTGTTTTTAAGGGGTAACAAGTTTTATTTCAATGGACTCCGATCAAGGAAAGCTCCCATTGAGAGCTTTTAAAGTGCTACAATGTTTCTCCCCTTTTCCCTGTTCTTTTGCCGACTTCTTTTAAGAGCTACAATGTTTCTCTCTCTTTTTCTTCCCCTTTTCTTTTGCCGATTCCTTGGTTCGACGGGCTTTGGAAGAGCAGAGCTTTGAAATTACAAAGTTTCTTTCCCAATCGTCCCAACCTGGTTAATCTGCCGACCGGTCCGGGAAACATATTTTCAAGGAAGCCTTTCCAGCTTTAGATTTTCAAGGACAAAAGATTTGAAACACACCCACCTCTCTCCCACGTTAGTTCTCATTTTACCCGATGGCCAAAATGTAGAAGCTTCCCATTTTAAAAAACCTTTCCTCTAGGAACTGGCTGGAAAGTCAGGAGGATCGAGGCAAAAAGTGATTTTCTCGTCCCATCCTGGCGTCTAATAGAGTGGGTGGAAGGTGGTCAGTGACCGATAGTAAGGATGGGAAATTGGCAGTCGAGAAATAACTTTTATCTTCCCCTCATCATCAACAGATGTAAGTGGTGGAAAACTGGAAATCAACGGCTTTTGTAAGTTGGGGGGGGGGAATGATAAACCGAGAGACCTGCGACACCTGAAAAAAAGTTTCAAAGTGAGCTTTTATGGATTCATGAAAAGCCACCCCGAAATGGATCGCGTTAGCTTTCCAGGTGCCAGAAATTCACCATGGTTGACACTACAGTAACTAGTTAATAGGTTTTTCTGGGAATACAGTACTGGGCTCTGCAGCCAAGTTTTAAAGCCGAGGCCTTCACTAAGAGAAGCTAAGCTGAGCGAAAGTTTTTCCAAGACTGTCAGCTCTTTTGCGGAGAAAAGTGGGTGGCTCTTAAAAGAGCCTTTGGGTCTCTTGAAAAAGGAAGGGATCCGCTCTGGAGAGCTGACCAACAACCATCTACTTGGAGCTGGTGTACTTGGTGACGGCCTTGGTGCCCTCGGAGACGGCGTGCTTGGCCAGCTCTCCGGGCAGGAGGAGCCTGACGGCGGTCTGGATCTCCCGGGAGGGGATGGTGGAGCGCTTGTTGTAATGGGCGAGCCGGGAGGCCTCGGCGGCGATGCGCTCGAAGATGTCGTTGACAAAGGAGTTCATGATGCTCATGGCCTTGGAGGAGATGCCCGTGTCCGGGTGGACCTGCTTGAGGACCTTGTAGACGTAGATGGACTAGCTCTCCTTGCGGCTCTTCCTGCGCTTCTTGTCGCCTTTCTTCTGTGTCTTGGTGATGGCCTTCTTGGAGCCCTTCTTGGGCACCGGCGCGGACTTCGCAGGCTCAGGCATCTTCAAACGCAAGCAACGAACTCAACACAAGCAGGAACACCCACAAATGCGGTGCTCTGCCTTGCTGCGTTCTTTATATAGGGCCCTTATGTAAATGAGGTGCTGGAATATCCTCCACTCTATTGGCCGGCCTTCGAAGCGACGCGAACCAGGAGGATACCAACGTTCCATCAGCGCATCCTTTCATAGCTTCCCTTCTTATTGGCCGACGCCTTGACTTCGCCCTCTTCTACTGGCTCTTTTTTTGGATCCCTCCTTCTATTGGCTCGTCTAGCAGGGACGCGGTGATTGGAGAGGGAGTCCCAAAGGCGAGCCAATCAGAATGGCCAGTTACAAAACCTAGGGAGCGTATATAAGGGTTGGGAAGCCGCCCCTTTTCACGCAGTCGTCGGCTCGTTTTGGGGGAGCAGTTCTGTAGCGTGTTGGTCGATCGGTCGTGTTGAAATGTCTGGACGCGGAAAGCAAGGGGGCAAAGCCAGGGCGAAGGCCAAGACCCGCTCCTCCCGGGCTGGCCTGCAGTTCCCGGTGGGTCGCGTCCACCGCCTGCTGCGGAAGGGCAACTACGCCGAGCGGGTGGGCGCCGGGGCCCCCGTCTACCTGGCCGCCGTCCTCGAGTACCTGACTGCCGAGATCCTCGAGCTGGCCGGCAACGCCGCCCGGGACAACAAGAAGACCCGCATCATCCCCCGGCACCTCCAGCTCGCTATCCGCAACGACGAGGAGCTCAACAAGCTGCTGGGGAAAGTCACCATCGCCCAGGGAGGCGTCCTGCCCAACATCCAGGCCGTCCTGCTGCCCAAGAAGACCGAGAGCCACAAGGCCAAAGGAAAATGAGGCGTGTTTTTGGATGGACAGTGACTTTTTGAAAATCTCTTAAAAAACCAAAGGCTCTTTTAAGAGCCACCCAAAGTTTCATGAAAAGAGCTGGTCGTTCTTTTGATCTTAGCCCGAGAGCTTATTTTTGAAAGAGCAGTTGGTTATATACACACTTTTAAAAAGTTGGCTTTGAGGGTGAATGTCAGCCTTTGCAAACTGGAGCCATTTTTAATCCATTACGTTAAACAAAAAGGTAGTTTTGGGAAGTATTGCGGCACACGAAGGACAGTCTTTCACTCCTACCTCGGTTCCCCCCCCCCCAAATAAAGCTAATTTTGGAGGATTTGTGTAGATACTCAAGCAGCAGGATGCTGATACAGAGTTCCAAGAAGTTTGCATCTATCAAAGGAAACAAGTTCGTTTTTTAAAAAATACGAAAAGATTCGCTGAAGTGAAAGTGTACCTAGACACGATTAAATTCGTGAAGTTCCATTTCCGAAAGACGGAAATGATCGGCATTGAAATACATGGAGGCCGGAAAACACTCGATAAAGAGGAAACATACAAGGCAGGGTATACAGTATAACTTTAGTAATCCCTGTTGAGCAGGGTAATTTTGTTTCCAGTTCCCCCTGGAAAGTTTTTAACATCCGAAAAGTATCCTTTCTCCTGGTCGGGGGGAGGGAAGCACAGCCTGGAAGCCCATTGGCTAAGATTTTCCCGGCGCCAGAGTTTTAACGAAAGCAACTCAGCCAATCAGAGCGAGCGCGGGAGTTTTCAAATCAGAACCCGGACCGATCAGTGCCGGGGCTGTAAAAAAAGATGTTCAGTGCTGGAGATTTTTTTTGAAATCTTCCATCAAGTCCTGATGGCGCTTTGGGTAGTGAAAGATTCTTATAAGGTCTGAGAGGGGCGACCCTTTATTCATCTTTCAGGGTTGTATTTTTTTTGGATTGCAAACCAGATGTTAAGGACCGAAACCCATGGCTAAGTGGCTCAGTCTCCAGGCACAAGGAGATTTATCGATGGAAAACGTTTTTTTTATTCCGCCTTTCTCCTTAAAAAAGGACCCCCAAGGCGGTTTGACATCATGAAAAAGAACAACAGTTAAAGCTAAAATCAATGAGTATGCAAGGATCGCCCATGAAATCGCGGCGCTAGTGGTCATATCGACCAGATAGACGGGATATAAAGAGAATAAAGAGAATAAATTAATTTAAACATGTCAAACTATTCACTCCTCGTCTTGGTTCCCGAATCCCGCCGAGTTCAAGGGAGAGAATAAATAAATACATTTAAACACGTCAAACTATTCACTCCTCATCGTGGTTCCCGAATCCCGCCGAGTTCAAGGGACAGTCTTCATAAATATGCATAAAATTGCAGTTTTTGTAGAATTGGGGCTTTTGCTGTTAAAATAGATGCACGGAGGGCCGGTCTCCGCGATGGGCTGAGCTATCCCTAGCTGAGTGTATTTTGGAAGGAAATCAATCTCCTTCTCCGCCCAAACAGGGCAGCGCTCCTAATGTTTGGACTACAACCGCCATCATTCCCGGTCAGTAGGGGAAGAGGAGGTGAAATCGATGGGTCTCAGAATCTTAAAGCTTAGTGCTCGGATCAAAGTATTGGTCCGGAGAAAATTCTTTTATTTTTCTGCACTAAAGGGGAGGGGGTAGCATAACGGGCCTTCTTAGCGCAGTAGGCAGCGCGTCAGTCTCATAATCTGAAGGTCCTGAGTTCGATCCTCAGAGAAGGCAGCACAATTTTTTTACAAAAAATGAATTAAAAAAAGTATAGACGGGTGGATAGCTTTCTGCTTGCGCAGCCATCTCCAGCAATCCCCGATTGATTTTTAAAAAAAGTTTAGAAGTGGGGATATAATGTTTTCCTTTTCTTTCTTTTTTTCTTTTTCTTTTTTGCAGGATGGGCATTTTCTGTTAACAGATTTAGGAAGCGATGGTCGGGGGTGTGGGAGAAGCATGTCTTGGGCGGAGAAATACCAAGCAGCTTTCTGATGTTTTACATTTTGCTCTTCCGTCCACTCTTTTGCTTCTTTGAGAGTGTCTACACGCTTTGCTTGGATTGCGTGAGTGAACTGAGGGGCAGAGAAGTGGAAAAGAAAATCACCCAGTAATTTAAACCCCATTGCAAAACTACTTTTTCTACCTTGCCTTGCAAAGTAACCATTGATAGACGATGTAGATGAGTATTGAAATGCAGAGTAGGCAAGAGCCCGGCTAGCTCAGTCGGTAGAGCATGAGACTCTTAATCTCAGGGTCGTGGGTTCGAGCCCCACGTTGGGCGCTAGCATTTTTTATTTCCTTCTTCTGTCTTTCCACCCCATAAAAGTGGTTTTTCGTTGAAAACCAAGCTCAATCTCTTGTGTTACAAACCGCAAGGTTTACACTGTCGATTCCTCTTCAACTTGTACATTATTGAGTCCTGGCCCTTTAAATAAATTACTTATAATATGGTACACTTAAACTGATAGCGAGAGTTTAGGCATTTTTCCCTATTAATTAACACTGTAGTTAAATAGTAAGTTGTACTTATGTGTTCTCAAGTGTCAACCGACTTATAGCGACCCTAACAGGGCTCCCAAGGTTAGTGAGAACTTTAAGGAGTCTTTTCACCGGTTTTCATGTATGAGTGGGGATTCGAACCCATGGCTCCAAAAGAATAGCCGTTCATAAAAGAACCCAACGATTACGGTCTTTTGTGTATTAAAAGAGTAAGGCTAGGCAAAAAGTAGGGAATACGTGCAAAAATTAGGATAAAATTAAAGTGAAATATTGAAACTGTGAAAGACTGTACTGGAAAATTCAGGAAGTTAAAACTATATACTGTATATATAAAAATTAAAAATACTACACTCCTAGCGGGAGAGGATAGTTTTGAACCTTCGACTTTCGGATTATGGGCAAAGCACAGTACCATTGAGCCACTCCGCTTCCAGAGAGTCTGATTTTCCCTAAATTTCTCTAATTTCCACCATTAGCCGCTTTATCGTTTGATGGTAAAGGAACTTCTTTACTCGTTCCGAAAGTTTCCTGTTCATTCATAAACTCTGGTCTCTGCGAAGGAAGATCTTTCAGCCTCTTGGTGTCCCCCGAGTTCTTTATTTCATTCTGCCTTTTGTTATCACAGATAAAAAGTAAAAGAAAAAAGAGCAACTCGTGAACAACGTGGGGAGATTAATTTTGCTTCGCTCAGCATTGCGTGGTTGGCAAAGTTACTTTTTCTCCGTCCGCAGTTACAGTATCCCTTTCTCACGCTCCATAGCTGTTGCAATTCACCCTTGAGCCACTATTATCAATAAGAGGAGAACCAGAGAAAGCCAGGAAGTCGCAGTAGCACGCCGTGATCGTATAGTGGTTAGTACTCTGCGTTGTGGCCGCAGCAACCTCGGTTCGAATCCGAGTCACGGCAGTTAGAGACCTCCAAATTTTTTTTAGGAGACAAGACTTGTGCAGGAATTACCCAAAGGGTCTGGCTGTGACGGGGAAAAGCCCCTCTGAATTTGCTTTCAGCTTTAAAGCTGGATAGATGAACTTTTAGCACGGAGGGACTGGATCCAGATTGAGCCCTCACCCTCTCCCCATAAAAGTTATGTCAAGGCATCAGAAGGACCCTCCCGGCTGGTGCTGAAAATGTTTCTAATTTGGTCGGATCCTTCCCCCCCCCTTTAGGTCATATCCTGCTGCCTTTGGCAAAGCCTCTTGATGCCCAAGTCTAGAGATTCTGGGGTGTCTGTGGGGGTTTCTTTGTCTATACTGTCAGATATAATGTTCTTAAATGGCGCTTCTGTTGGTAATTTGATAAGAAATGGAAATGGACCACAAATGAAGTGTTATCAAATTTATTAAAGTTAAAAAAGTTTGTGAAATAAGAATATTTTTATAGATATTTGAGAAGGATTTATAGATTAAAGGGGAAAGGTTGTGCCCCAGGGCAAGGATCAATGCAGTTCTGGAGCGGGCAGAGGACTCTGTATGGGATAGGAAACTGATTTTACCTCCAAATGGACCCAGTACATTATGTTATATTGTTTCTTATGCTGTGAATGAATAACTTTTATGTACAGTTTTGTTTGTTATATAGTGGTTTGAGGGTTTGCCCGTGTGTGCGAGTTGTAATTTTAAAAAATTAAAAATCAAGAACAACTAAAAGCATTACTTTTTGCTTGTCTCTCCCATGGACAGTTGGTATTGGACTTCAATCCTGAGTCCCATTTATTTCAGTTGTCCTGGAATCCAGATCTAAACCTGGATCAGGAGGGAGTGGAAAGGAGGAAGATCAATTATAGGATGGGTTGTCTTCTTAAAGGAAGCCATGGCTTTTGAGTTTGCAAGAGCCAAGCAGGGCTATCAACACCCAGCCATTCTGGAGGTCACGTGTTCATAGGGAAGTACTGCAGACTTTTCCACTTTTGTTTAATTTTTGTCCGTGTTGTTTTCGAAATAGACTTAAAACACAGCCACTCCTCTGAAAACGTAGCCATGGAGAAGACGAAAATAGCTCCTGAATGAGTTGGCAGACCATGCTGTACTGCCACCTAGTGGCCAATAGTTAGGAAGCGAAGAAGACCATTCAGAGTTCATTCTTCCTTACCCCCTTCTTATAGATTAGGATCCGGAGGATAAGCAAATTCTAAGCAACCGTGTGTTGCTTTTTGCTCTTTTTAAAAGCCATGCCTCCTTCCCCTTCCCTCACCCCCTTTCTTTGGCAGTGTGTAAGCGGCCATCTTATGTAGCCACCAACTTCCTCGTTTGAGGGAGTAAATGCAGGGGGGGCTGATCTATGAGGACCTATGGAGCATTGCCCCATCATTGGTTCAGGCTAGTGCCCACCAGTGGTGCTGGAGGAGACTCTTGAGAGTCCCCTGAACCGCAAAGAGAACAAACCTATCAATTCTGAAGGAAATCAACCCTGAGTGCTCACTGGAAGGACAGATCCTGAAGCTGAGGCTCCAACTCTTTGGCCATCTCATGAGAAGAGAAGACTCCATGGAAAAGACCCCGATGTTGGGAAAGTGTGAAGGCAGGAGATGAAGGGGACGACAGAGGACGAGATGGCTGGACAGTGTCATCGAAGTGACCTTCCTTATCCCCTTCTTATAGATTAGGATCTGGAGGATAAGCAAATTCTAAGCAACCGTGTGTTGCTTTTTGCTCTTTTTAAAAGCCATGCCTCCTTCCCCTTCCCTCACCCCCTTTCTTTGGCAGTGTGTAAGCGGCCATCTTATGTAGCCACCAACGTCCTTGTTTGAGGGAGTAAATACAGGGGTGGCTGATCTATGAGGACCTAGGGAGCGTTGCCCCATCATTGGCTCAGGCTAGTGCCCACCAGGGGTGCTGGAGGAGACTCTTGAGAGTCCCCTGGACTGCACAGAGAACAAGCCTATCAATTCTGAAGGAAATCAACTCTGAATGCTCACTGGAAGGACAGATCCTGTAGCTCAGGCTCCAATACTTTGGCCATCTCATGAGAAGAGAAGACTCCCTGGAAAAGACTGAAAAGTTGGTCATGACTTAACGATTAAACAACAACAGCAGTGCCCACCAGAACACTTCTGCATCCCCTGTTTTCTTCTACCTAACTGTGTGTGTTTGTTTGTGTGAGAGAGAAGGTCTGTGTGAAAGAATGTCACTTCTGCTTCATTCTGCTTGTCACTCTCATCTCTTTGCTGTCGTGCCTCCCACCCATGGCCAACCTCAATGAGTAAATGACATTTCGGTAAGGCACAAGTGACCTCTGACTGGGGCGGAGCCCTGTTCTGAGCTGCCCCGAAAGAGAAGGAGATCAAACAGGCTGACTTTCCAGAAGGGTACATTTTGGTTGAGCATCAGGAGAAACTGCTTAACAACCTAGACAGCTGAACAAAGGAAGCAATGACTTCCGGAGGTGGTGCATTCTTCTTTACTGGATATCTCCAAACAGAAACTGGGCAGCAAGCCTGGTCTGGGGAAGCTCCAGTTTTGAATGAGGGGTTTAATCCATATTTTGGCTAAAAAGATGCAAACTAGCCCCTTTAGATCTGGCTCTTGGAAGGCAGTCTTCAAGCGTCTGGAAGACCTGAAAGATGGTCCTTCCCTCACTGAGATCATCCACCTCTGGACAAGAATCATGCGGGGAAAAAATCTCAATAGCCAAGATGTCTACTGTCAAAATATTGCATTCATAGAATTGAGTTACAGAAACCTGATATCACGCTGAGGTGGTATAAAACCATTTCACGTGTTTTATGCATTTTTTTAAAAAAATCTAATTGCTTACAATGGAAAGTTACATTATATATATACAGGTGTGTGCGTGCGTGCGTGCGTGCGTGCGTATGTATGTATGTATGTATGTATGTATGTATGTATGTATGTATGTATGTATGTATGTATGTATGTATGTGTGTGTGTGTGTGTTTGTGTGTGAGTGTGTGTGTGTATGTATATGTATATGTATATGTATATGTGTGTGTGTGTGTATATATATGTATATGTATATGTATATATGTATGTATGTATATGCCTGGTTTATTATACAAAGGCCTAAGCCCACTTTTTCACTTGCACAGCTAGTGGAGAAGGCTTCTGGCAGTCACATTCCTTAGGCTAGGAGATGTGATAACTTGTCATGAGGCGTGTAGGGTACAAAACTTGACATGGAGCTAATGTGGGTGGCGCTGTGAGTTAAACCGCAGAAGCCTCTGTGCTGCAAGGTCAGAAGACCAGCGGTCATAAGATCGAATCCACGTGACAGAGTGAGCTCCCGTCATTTGTCCCAGCTACTCGCCAACCTAGCAGTTTGAGAGTGTGTAAAAATGCGAGTAGATAAATAGGGACCACCTCGGTGGGAAGGTCATGGCATTCCATGTCTAGTCGCGCTGACCACGTGACCATGGAAACTGTCTTTGGACAAACGCTGGCTCTATGGCTTGGAGACGGCGATGAGCACCAAGCCCCAGAGTCGGACATGACTGGACTAAATGTCAAGGGGGAACTTTACTAATGTGTCCTCTGTTCCAGTTTGAGTTGTGCCATTTTTTGCTCGCTTGTTAGATTAGATTATTTATATCCCATCCTGTGTCACAAGATAAGAGAGCTGCATACAAGAAAAAATGATTTCTAAAGAGTTTAGAACCCCAAAACTTGCTCTTACAGCATCGTGTAAGATAATGTGTGTCTATCTTTCAGCGTTCTATTATTTCATTTTATTCCACATGTTTGAAGAAGTGGATGTGATCATGAAAGCTCACATTAAAAATATAATCAGTCTTTAAGGTGCCACATGCTTTTGCTGTTTTGTTCTATTTTGTTTGGATTTTGCTTTGTAAGCTTGCACAGACTAACATGGCTACTTCTTCTAAAATAATTATTACTGTGTAAGCACAAATACGGCTATCTGCTGATGGAGAGTCTGCAGGACTTACAATCTACCCCCTTTTCTGTGTTTGTTTAATTTAACAAGACTGGATGATATTTTCAGAAATGATATCAATTCCTTGGGAAAAAGTTACACTGTGAAAACATTGTCATATTCTATAGAGACAGAACATCATTTATTTTTCAAAGTGTATTGCAGTCCTCTATAAATGACACTAAGAAATAGAAATGTGAGCTAGAATACAGTGGTGCCTCGCATAGCGAGGGTTAATCCATTCTGGATTAACCCTCGCTATGGGAAACATCGCTCAACGGAATGAAAAAACCCATTGAAACGCATTAAACTTGGTTTAATGTGTTCCAATGGGCCCCAAAACTCACCATTGAGCGAAGCTCCTCCATAGGGGCGGCCATTTTCGCGCCCTCGGTAAGCGAGGGCACGGGGCAAAAAGTTCTGGTGGCCATTTTGGACCCGCCGATCAGCTGTTCCGTGCAGCTTCGCTATGCGAAAATCGTTAAGCGAACCGCTTAACGATCATTGCACAGCAAAAAAACCCCATAGGGGCCATCGCTGAGCGAATGCTCCGGCGATGGCCCGGACCGCCTCGCTATGCGAATTCATCACTCAACGGAGTGATCACTAAGCAAGGCACCACTGTATTTCCCCCCTTTAGTCATTTACTCAGAATTTCTGTTCTACATATTGGATTACTAATATTAGCTTTAGAGCCACAAGATGGAATTTTTCCAGTAGATCACTCAAGGTAAAAAAAAAGTGAATGACTTGCACCATTGAGACTTTTTAGGAATTGGAATTAATAGCATACGGAATAATTTGCATTCGATGCCTTGTTGAGATACCAACTTTGCAAGCAGATTTAGCTACAGGGGTGTTTTTTCCTTACTAGCTGTTCCTTGCTGTTCAAATCGGGTCTCAACACAATAATGTAACATTTTGGGGAAAAGATGCAACCCAGTAACCCGCCACTGGAAGCTAAGATGGAGAAGATCTCCACAGCCACCATGTCTTTCCCTTTAGTACTCAGATAGGTTGGGACAAATGATAACCAAACACTACAAAAGACCAACATACTGAAGGTGATAAATTTGGCTTCGTTAAAGCTGTCGGGCAACTTTCTAGCTAGGAACGCAACCGAGAAGCTGACGATGGAGAGGAAGACCATGTAGCCCCAAATACTGTAAAACATGGTGACCGACCCTTCATTACACTCCAGTATGATTTTGTCAGTGAACAAATGTGTGTTGAAGGCTGGGGATGGGGGAGATGTACCCAACCAAAGAGCACAAATACCTACTTGGATGAGGGAGCACGACCAGACAATACAATAAGCCAATCTGTTTCCCACCCATTTATGGAATTTGCTTCCCGGCCTAGAGGCCATGAAAGCCATGATCACTACAATGGTTTTGGCCAAAACAGAAGACACAGCAAGGGAGAAGATAATGCCAAAAGCTATTTGTCTCAGAAGGCAGGTCACCTTATTGGGCTGTCCAATAAACAGCAAGGAACAGAGGAAGCAGAAGAGGAGGGACACAAGGAGAAGGTAGCTGAGGCTTCGATTGTTGGCTTTGACGAGGGGGGTGTCCCGTCGCTTAACGAAGAGTGCAAGCACCAGACCTGTGATCAGAGCAAGGAAAAGGGCCAGAGAAGTCAAAATAATGCCCAGAGTTTCTGTCCATGAAAGAAAACTTTGAACTTTAGGAATGCAGCTGTCTCTGCCTTGGTCGGGATATTGATCTTCTGAGCAGCTGATGCAGGCATCCATGTCTAAAAGTAGAGAATATACCAATGTTAAAATTACAAGAACTGTTTTGACATCTACTTGACATGTCCAGGTAGATTATCACTAGTTCCTGCACTCCTAGTCAAAATAGGCAACAACTGAAACTAGAATATAAACCCAGCAGTGTGTGATTTAGTCCCAGATAGGTGAATTTTCTTTGTGTCTAAAAGTCTCGGACATGCAGTTGTTCAAGGATCTGTCCATCAAGGAACCACTCATGTTTCTGGGGTCAGATTACAAGTGACATCCATGCAACATGTTTTGAAGACCAATTAAAAAAACCCAATAAGAAGTAGGTGGAATGCTTATTGTATGAGGAGAAGGAAATTAAGTAAAGGTCTTCCATTGAACCAAGAAAGTTTCAGCTCTACCTAAAGAATAACAGTCTTTTCCCACCGTTAGTATGCACGGCAGTACCTCTATTCAGATTTTAGGAGCTCTCCAACCGCTCAATGAGAGGATTCAAAAGGCAAGAATTTAAAAACACACCTTTCCCCATTCTCGAAGCCCATCATCACCAATATATGGGTGGTGTAGTGCAGTGGTTCTTAACCTTTGTTACTCGGATGCTTTTGAACTGCAACTCCCAGAAACCCCAGTCAGGACAGCTGGTGATGAAGGCTTCTGGGAGTTGCAGTCCAAAACCCCTGAGTAACCCAAGGTTAAGAACCAGTGGCATAGTGGACAGAATGACAGATTAGACTCTGGAGTCCAGGTTTCAAATCAGCTATGGGAACCCACTGGTGGAACTGGTAAAGCCACTCCTGAAACATCTCACTCATCTTGAAAGCTATGTCAGGTTTTCTGGAAGTCAATTTCCGACTTGACAGCATGAGCAACGGAGTAAGGTTTAAAGTGTTTGAAAGAAGGAGCATCTCACTTCCTTCCCACCTCCTATAAATCTTAGCAGGTATAGTAGGACCTCCATATGTGCAGGATCAGCTGCTCGAAAAGATTAAATAAAAACTCCCGGAAATATGTGTTTCCAAAGTGTATTACTAGAACTGGCCACAAGAAGGAGCTAGAGATTATAGGGTTTGTATATCTGTGGTTTTCAGTATCCACAGGGTGGGGGCTTGGAACTGATACCCCATGGATACTGCAGTCCTACTGTACTTCTTTTCTGGCCAGGTTGGCGCTTAAGATACAATGAGCCTTTTGAGCCCCCCCAAAAAAAAAATTACAAAAAAAATGCAAGAAAAGAATTGGAGGATGTGTAGCAAACACTTTTCTATAGGTTCAAAAGAAAGCAAAAATTTATCAATGAGAACGTTTGCATCTTCAAGGTTCCATATTTTTGCAGTCACATGTCCTTGGCTGAAATCCTGTAGCTTAGCATTGTACGTTGCCACTAGAATAGACTCATTGGATCCATGGAGGCGCTGGCTTACTAAATATCATCTGATTCAACAGGCATACTCTAGTTGTCACTTACTATGCCAAATAAGAGGATTTTATACATGGTCTTGATACCTGACCAGTTCATTGTTCAAAATCATTTATCTCCTACCTGTTTGGTTTGCCATCTTCCCTTCGGGACAGAAAACACAGTCGTAGCAACAAAAGACCTCTTTCTCTTTCTTCTGCTTGTTGTGCCCAGGCTGACACTTGTCATTACAGAGGGAGAAGGGAGGTAGCTACGGTTAAACAAAGTGAAACGAAACAGTTTAGGACCGAATTCTTGTTCATGGAAGCATTGCTGTAAAAATGATCTACGAGTACGTTAGAGAGGTGATGATAGAGAACCATAATACCAGTGCTTCTCTGTTATTTTCCTAGGGTTGTGGTTCTCCTGCTGCTCCTAGTGGTAGGGGTGAGGACTGTCTAGTGTGTTCTACAAAAGATCCCATATTCCACCACTGCTAGTTTCAGTTAAATGGGTCAGGTAATATGGAAGACCCTGTGCCCAATGTGCTATAGAAGTGTTTCTTGTATCCATCAGCAGAATAAGGAGAAGAGACATGTTCCACTGAATTAACTAGGGACACAATTCTAGTCAACAGGGTCTGAATCAGTCATAATAGTGTTTTTTTTATGCTTCTTGTGCTGGAAAGGGACGTGATGGCGCTGCGGGTTAAACCGCAGAAGCCTCTGTGAGGGAAGGTCAGAAGACCAGCTGTCATAAGATCGAATCCACGTGACGGAGTGAGCTCCCGTCGCTTGTCCCAGCTCCTGCCAACCTAGCTGTTCGAAAGCATGTAAAAAAAGTGAATAGATAAATAGGTACCACCATGGTGGGAAGGCCACAGCGTTCCGTGTCTAGTCACATTGACACGACCATGGAAACTGCCTTCGAATCAACGCTGGCTGTACGGCTTGGAGACGGGGATGAGCACCGCGCCCTAGAGTCGGACATGGCTGGACTAAATGTCAAGGGGAACCTTTACCTTTACCTTGTGCTGGAAACAATTTGCAGCTGTATGAAGGTGCTGCTGCTTCTTCATGTAAAAGCTAATGACTTCCTAGCTGAACAATTGAAATGTGATGAGGTTATATTCCCACCTGGGTGAAGTTTTGATGCCACTGGATTTTCTCCTCATTGAGGTCCAGCTCTTTGCCAACGGGAGCTTGTGGATCCAGTCTTCCCACTTTAACTCTGACATAGGAATTATTTGGGAAAGTGATCAAGTTTGTGATATCAAAACCACCGGCTAGTTCTCCATGTTCATTAAATGCAATTTCGTCTCCGGCGTTATTGTTAAATGATGTCCTCTGGATGAAAGAGTGCAGCTTCGTAAAAAAGAGAAAACAGAATCCAATGTCAAAAGAGCCTGTCGTTTGAGATCATGCTGGATGATTTCCTTACTCCATGAAGTAAGGAAAACTCATGTTTCATCATCCTCATCAAAATGAGGAACTTGGAAGCCAAAACTTGTACCTTAACATTCCTGTGATAAGGCATGAAGTTGTGCAATGTCACAATTTGTGTGTGCATGAAGCCAGACGTGTGCAGACGTTCCTCATCCTGTTGTAAGTCTAAATGAAGGGTGCACAGTCTGGGGCCAACCTGTTCCTTGCCCTATTTTGAGATGCTCTGCAACAATATTTGTGCATTCCCATGAAAACCTTTTTCTTGCAAATGGGAAAAAGCACAGGGCAAGACTAAGTCATGGATCGAAAGCTTGCAGCCAAGATAGAAGGGCATCAGCAGAGATGGAATTTTCACTTTTTAAATATTTCCCCCTCCCCCCCATCACCAGGAATAAGCTTCCATTGCTTCCTAAGGCAGTTACTATGAAGGGACTGAGTGAGGGATTTTAAGAGGGCAATGGACACAGGGACTTTCAATTCCTTCTTAAAAGGGCAATGGCTTTTTGACACTGATTCTATCCTTTCTCTCTTTCATTCTCCTTCCTATTCCCAGATCTGAAATTAGTGATACTGTGGCCACAGACTTCAATGATTTAATGCATATATTTTTTAAAAAAAGGAAAAGAAAGTTCATTTTAAAGGTAAAGAGCACCCTTTTTCACCACTTCTAATCATGAATGCCCCACGGTTTTCTGCTCTGCCATGTGGCTTCTCAGAGATGTGCAAATATCTCTGACTCATTCTGCTTTTGTACATTTGTTCCCATGTCTTTTTAAACAATACCTCCTCGCCACACACCTGTGTTTGGCCTTGGTCTTTAAGGTCCCCAAACAGAGAAGCAGGTGCTGTACCTGGGCTCAATAAAGCTGTCTTTTCCTGATCAGAGCCTGCAAAAGTTACTTTTTGTATAACATATCCCAGAATCTCCCAGCCATTATTCTATCAGCTATCAGTGTTGGTAGACATTCATGTTTGGAAGTCATGTTATGCTGATAATTGCAATGGAATATGTAGCATCTTGACTTCACTGGCATTTCCTGAAGAATACATCTATTTAGAGGGGAATGTAACATTTTGGAGATCTAAGGAGGTACGCCTGTCTTGCTAGGATGTTTGAGGATTTACTTTTCCCCTGTTCTTTACAGGGATAAATATTCTTTGGGAATGGATTTTAGTTACCCACTTCATTGGCTTACATCCTTATATATTTTCTCCCTACTCGCTGCTGAATTTCTACAGATGAAGGACTTGTTTGTGACACCGTTCTTAAATCGTGCTGTTTTATTATTGACATGATTTCTGACTTTTGCCACTGCATTTTATAGCCAATATTTCCTTGGAGTTGAAGAGACAGCGCATGACTTAACATCACCATAATAATAATAATTGCTGGCCATCAAGCTGATGTTGACTTATGGCAACCCTATCCAGTTCGCCACTGCATTTTGTAGCCAATATTTCCTTGGAGTTTAAGAGACAGTGCATGACTTAACATCACCATAATAATAATTGCTTGCCATCACGCTGATGTTGACTTATGGCAACCCTATCCAGGGTTTCCTAGGTAGAGAATATACAGAAGTGATTTACCATTCCCTTCTTCTGAGGGCATGCTAGGACCGTGCAGCTTGACCAAGGCTACATAGGCTGGCTTCTCTCACAAAAGGTACAGTGAGGAATTAAACTCCCAATTTTTGGCTCTGCAGCCAGATACTTAAACCAAATGAGCTATCTAGCCAACATTGCTATAGCAGAAGACAATGGCTTTCAGGACTTTCTCAAAAGCTTTCCAGAAGCTTTTAACTGACCACAGTGGAAACATGATGCAGAACCATCTAAATGTTTTCTTGATTTAGAATTTTGGCATATGGACCGTGGAAGAAACTGGAAAGCAATCAACTATATCAGTTAGAGCTGTTGACAAGACAACTTACACCATGATCCTTGGAGAATTAAATAAAAGTATGAAGGATTTGATGGTACCCTATCTGGAGAGAAGCAGAAGGATTTCAAAGTAAGGCAAAAGGAGAGTGTTGATGTTTTATAGAGACGACCATACAGGACTCATGTTTAACAGTAGAAGACTTTCTCAAGGGAGATATTACCTTCCAAGCTTCCAAGTCATGAGAGGCTGATTTACTGCAATCATCCTTTGCTCTGGAACTGGATCTGGATGAGTACATAGCATGCAAGGCATGTACTAGAACATAAACAGCATTATAGATACAATAGCTATGGCCGGTCATGCTCATTTCAAAAAAAGGGGCAGGGAGACTCTCCAGCTTCTCCTCCTCCGTGCAGGGGTCACTGAAATCCGCCAGGCTGCTGGAAGTGGAGAGGACACAATCAAAGGCTTGTTCCCAGAAAGGTTTAATGAAACCATTCCTCTCGTCATCAGCAAGATGAATATTATGGAGGTATTCCTGGAAACCTGCAACTTCCTTGGAATGAATGGTGAAAGAGAGAGCACCGTGGAGCATCTGAACATCAAACCCCTTTAGAAGGAGATGCAAAATGACATCAGTTTGGGCTGTGAAAATCCACACTTTCATTACAGGTCTTCTGTAAGGCAGAGGCATCAGCATGTTTGCCATGAGAAAAACAGTTAGCCATGTAATGGTTTCAGTTTCTCCATATATGATAATAGCACTGGCTTTGGTATCCAGTAAAGTGTTTACATTTTTCTCAAAACTTTGGATCATTTCATGCAAGTAATAGAAACCCACATTATTATCAAGAGTTTCGGTGAAGGCTAAGCAGATTCCGTTCTGTGCCAACATCGGCTCTAAGATGGATAAGAAATGCTCCCCACCTTCAGTGTCTTTTCTGAGGACCCCTACCCAGTTCCACTCAAAATGCACGAGTAATTGCACTAGTCCTCTATTCTGAAGTTCCTCGCTGGGAACCATGCGATAAAACAGTGGAAGATCGGCATGGGCGCTCATGATTGGTTCAAATGAACCGTAAGACATCTAAAGAAATAAAAAGGACACACCTTTCAGAGAAAGAACGGAAGCATTCATGAACATGCAACCCCCCCCCCCGAGTTGTCCTGTAGAAACGGGTCCCATGAAAATCAATGGGACTTGAGACAAAAAGTTCTACTGATTTCTCAGAAATGTTTCAATTGGATTTATTTTGAAGGCTGAAGAGTGCCAAAACCTTAAAAACTAAATTTAACTATTAGTGTGGCACCATATACTGTATTTAACAACTGGTGTGTATGTGTGTGCAACAATACTATCGCACAATGAATTTGAAATTCTGGAACTGAGATATGCCTAAACTGATATGCCAGTAAAACATCGCAATCATTTATTACTGGATCATTTCTACATGCAGAATCTTGGATTTTAATTCCTATTATATCCATTCCACCTTTCTTGGGGCAACCTGCCTTTTTCCAATCCCCTCTCCAAAGCTTGCACATTATCTCAAGTAAGACTCTGGCTGTTTAACTTACTCCATATCTCATTGTTTTTCTGAATGATGATAGCACAATACAGAATGAGCGAGGAACTGTGGATTTCACGTAAGACTCCAGACGGCATTCACCAAGCCCCATTAGCAAATCCTACCTGCGGTATCTTGTAGCGATCTAAGATTCCTGCCATGTATGAGGAGATCTCAAGGTTAAATCCTCCAATGACTCCTATTAGATTGTTCTGTTTGCCACATTTATAATTAGGCTTTGATGCTTTTGATCTGAAGAGAAGGTCCAGGGTGACCTGATAGGCCAGCCTTGCGTGAGAGTAGCTGTCAAAGATGTGGAATCCAAGTGTGACGTTGGGCAAGATCCTGGGATTTTCATTGACCTCCTTGATAGCAAACACCAAAGCCAGGGTGTGCTGGTAGAACTTTGTCATCACCCTGTTGAAAAGAAAAACCAGATAGAAAAAAACCTGGAGGAATTTGACTTGTTCAGACTGAAATGCACAGATGAAGGAGAAATCACAGCAACCTAAGACAATAGAAGAACTACAGAATAATGTTAACAACAAAGAAATGGAGATAAAGAATTTGTAAATCCTGGTTCAACCATCCATCTAAGTGTCCAGCCACCGGACAGGCATTCGCACCCTGGAGCGGCATGGCTGTTCTTTGCCCCAACGTCCCCGGATGGCGTGAGACTGTTGGAAGCCACGTGAGCATGTTGGGAGGGAGAGTGCACTTATTTAAGCAAGCACTCCCCTTCGTTCACCCTCTTTCCCTGTTCAGACACCCACCCGCCCTCCCTAATTCTAGTGTGACTTAGGTGGTCACCTTTTAAGGGGGCGGATAGGAACTTTTGACCTTCAGCCTAATTGGCTTTTGGCTGGGGGGATTTTTTGCCTAGCCCATACTGGAGAAAGGGTTGTTGGCATTTTGGTGGCTTATTTGGTCACACGGGTGAGGAGGGCAGAAAAACAGGTTGTCTCGGTGTGTCCCGTTTGTAATTAAGTTAGCCAACAGCGCATCTAACCTTTTGGCTCTGAGGATCATGCGATTACAGGGCCGGTGTGGGGAAGATGCGCTGGGCCACTTCCGGACCAACAGTCATCAGTTAAAGATGTCTGGAGGTTTGGGGGTGTTTGTTAGCGGCCTGCTGGGTTCTTGCTGTCGGTAAGACAGTGGGAACCTGGAGCCGGGGACTTACCCAATGGCGGTTCAGGGGGTATTTCGATACCCCCAGCTTCTCCTGTTTCCACACTACAGCAGGCCCCCTCTTTTTAGAATAGTTGAATAACTGATTGAATTAATTAAATAAAGTGTGGCCCATATTAAATCCATATTGTTGTCTCGCGTTCTTATTCCAGGGCTGGGGGGAGCAAATGGAGAGTGCAGCCAAGAAATCAGAAGACTGAATCTCAGAAGGGCTCCAATGAAGGAACTAGAAAAGATAATCAAGTGCGAGGATGTGGCACTGGAGATGAAGACCGAGATCATCCACATGTTTGTAATTTTGACCACCATGTATGGTTATGAAAGCAGGACAGTAAGGAAAGCTGACAGGGGAAAAATGATTCATTTTATTAACATGGTGCTGGAAGAGAGCTTTGCAGATACCCAGGACAGCTAGCAAGCCAAACAAGTGGGTCCTAGATCAAATCAAGCCTGAACTATCTCTGGAGGCAAAAATGATGAAACTGAGGCTGTCCTACATTGGACACATTAAAAGAAGACAAGATTCTCCGGAAAATACAATAATGCTGGGAAAGGTGGGAGGCAAATATGAGATGGACTGATTCCCTAAAAGAATCCACAGGCTTGAGTTTTCAAGAGTTGAGCAGGGCTGTTGAGGACATTTATGGAGCGTGCTCGTTCATAGGATTGCCATAAGTTGGAAACAACTTGATGACACATAACAACCACCACCACCTAAGACTTAAATCCAATTAAATGTTCTCAGTCATTACAGGAGTTTCATAGAGAAGTACAATATGAGGAAACATGAATTTTCCGGAGAAATCAGTAGCCAAGCAAGAGCTACATCATAAAAACAACAGAACTTCCACTTTGGAACATGTTTCTCCTATATATCAGATGCTTAAAAATAAAGACCTGATAAAAATACAAGGAAAAACATAATCTCCAGAGGTATTTTATATGGAGATATTTCTTTCATTTCCTTTCATTTATCATTTAATCATTGTATTCAGAACTCAACAACATGCATCAAATTCTTTGGAAGATCCTAGACTCTCAGCATGCAATTGATTTTTTAAATTATATCGAATCCCCATCCATAAATTAGCCTGAATTCGAAACAATGGGTTTTTATTTCATATCAGCACCTTATTTCACATCCCTCCTGGGAAACAAAAGAAAACCTCATATGATAAGCTTTTGCTTATCACATTAAGTAGTGTGCATTGTTTAACAAATACGGTTTCTGTAAAAAATTTTGCTATCTATAAAGTAGCTGGAGACTCAGAGCATATTGTACCACATGATTCATTTAAAAAATAAATAAATATTTTATGCCTCAACTATATAAAATTACTGGCAAATAGAAAATCCTTTCCACCTCATTGTCATATCAGACCATGTTCTGCTTTTTCTTTTATGGTGGTGGCCCAGACAGCTTGTCTTCTGCCTTAAGAGATCCATTTTTGGGGATGCTCTTCCTGCCTCCTGCTTGCCTCTGATCTTCTAGTGTCAATGTAACCCTCTTGACAGTGAGATTAGGCTTACTCCTATTTACCGTCTATGGGTGAAGGCAAATCTACTCTACTCCCCTCCAATGCCAGGAGTAGTGTGTGCATTGATGTTACTCCTATGCTGCACAGCCCTGCCGTTTTTCCTCATAAGTACAAAACTCTACATTTAATCACAACGTGAGAACAGATCAACTTTTTGAGGAGAACAGTAAGCAGCCAAAGTCACTCATCTTTGGCCTCCTCCAGGAAAGAAGAATAACTGAATTGTGACCATAAAATACATTTCTGTTATATTTAAAGACCCTCGGAGGGGCCAGGAAGAGAACCAGAAAAGTGTGAATTTTCCTTCCTTCCTTCCTTCCTTCCTTCCTTCCTTCCTTCCTTCCTTCCTTCTCCATGTCTCACTGAGCCTTGTGCTCAGTATCCACCAACACATGCTACATCCTCGGGGAGATCCTATATCTCGAGTGGTCAATTTGTTCTTAACACTCTGTAAGTTCTCAAACAAACCTTCTTGCTCCCTTACCAGTTACATATTCTGCCAATGGGTTCTGTTTCATGGTTACACTTTACATTTTTCCTGGTAAAGTACAACAATACTAAGCATTTGATTGCAATGGCTCTCTATTACATGGTTAAGTGTCCAGTTTTTAATGAATATAACCATTCTCCCTTTTTTCTTCCTCATTTATATAAAATGTACATCAATACCCTTCATTTTGGATTTTTAAGAAATCAGTAACAAGCCTGTTTCTTTTCCTTTCCCTTGAACCTTAATTTCGTCCCTAAACGAAAGTCTGTTGGCAGGAATGGGGCATAGAAGCAAGAGAACCATGACCACAAATCTCATTTCATTTTTTTTCCAGTGGCAGAAAATTATGATTTTGTTTTTGCCAACAACATTCATTCGGACACTTTCCCCTCCCCATGACAGCAAAATATATACATGTTCTCTGCCACTCCTGCCCTGGCTCAAGGTGGCACACCAAGATGCAAGCAATCACTTTTCTAAAGCGATCTCCACACTCGTAAGACAGTCAAAAGAAAATTTAAAAAATTTGGATTCTCACGCATCAATGTTGTACGACTCCTCAGAAGGACGCTTCACGAAGAAAACGTGGCGGAAAAGGTGATGGATGAAAGAGACGATGCCGCCAATGTTGACGTCGTTGGGTTGATGCCACTCATGTGGAATAGGAAGGCCATCAATTGATGCACAGTTACTGCCGTGCACTGTATCTACCAAGTGAGGAGTGAAGATAAGCAGCAGTAGTATCAGGAATAGTGACAACATTCCCGATTTTAACCTCCTGATGGTGAAGCTAACCTAAGGGTGTATTTTCCCCTCTATATCTTCCCCTACCTTTCTCTTCTTTCTCAGTCTCTCTATATGTCTTCCTGTCTCTACTGCATTGCTGTTAGCATTAGGTGGGACAGAACCACAAGAGGGCTAATCTCCAAAAGATCAACCAAACAGGTAAAAAGTTGAAACCGAGCAAACAGATGGAGCTCTGGCTATCTGCAAGACCTGCCTTCCTGTCTAAGCTCAGCCATCACACGGAGAGTATTTTATCAGCATTTCAGAGTTGTTAGTTGAATTTTTCCCCCAAGGGCCTTCTGGGAAAAAAAAAACTGGAACGTTGGCAGTGAATTTATTATAGTGTTTTGGATAATTAGAGGAGAGAACATAATTTCTGTCATCTGAGGGTTCTTGAGTTAGCGTTGTCAACACACAACGGGCTAATGCAAACAAATGTATTTGTCATATATAAGTAAACTTCTTAGTGGTTGGGGGTACAGAAAGACCTCAATCATTCTCTCTCTCTCATTTTTAATTTTATTTTTAAATTTCCAAAACAAAAACAAATACAAGAATACAAAATACTTACTATTGCACTCTAAACCACAGTGCACCCCCATAAACACAGGATCCTTTAGAGCAATACTTTTAATATGAACCTCTTTTCCAAAATTGTATTGATTGTTGTTTAGAGGCTTTCCCCTTTCCTTTCACTAATACAAATTCAATAAATCTACCCCAAATAGCATAAAAATATTTGAACTTATTTCCCCTCTCTTCATCTTCAGTTCAGTAGTCAATTTATCATTTAATGCAATGTCCCATACTTCATTATACCAGTCTTCTAATTTAATATCATGTTTATCTTTCCAAAATCTAGCTATTAATATTCTAGCACTTGTCATAAAATTAGGTGACACTTGTCACCAAAATGATGTTTCCTATGGGGGAATTTCGCTTTGCAATGATCGGTTCCCTGCTTCGGGAACCGATTCTTTGCAAAACAACGATTTTCCAACAGCTGATCGGCGATTTCAAAATGTCCGCTGGGTAAACAAAATGGCCCCCCACTGTTTTCTGGGACGGATTCCTTGCTGCACAGGCAGCGAAAATGGCCGCCCTATGCAGGATCTTCGCTGGACAGTGAGTTTACAGCCCTTTGGAACGCATTAAACGGGTTTTAATGCATTTCAATGGGTTCTTCTTTTCGCATTACGACGTTTTCGTTCTACAGCGATTTCGCCGGAACGAATTAACATCGTAATGCGAGGCGCCACTGTACTGTACCTGGAGCTGCTCTCCTTGTCAAAGTCAGCTCACAGAAGGCTACACTGTCTGACTTTACTCACATATGGCACAGTGGGGAATCAAACACCTAACTTTTGGCTCAACAGCCTATTACTGAAACCACTGAGCTATCTAGCCAGTCAGAGATGGGGTTTACCAATCTTTTTTTTATGGGGGTATCCTGGGACTGTGCAACTTGCCCAAAGCTAAACAAGTAGCCTCTATTCCTGGGATGCAGAATGAGGAAATGAATTCCTAAACTCTGGCTCTGCAGCCAGATGCCTGAACCACTAACCTCTCTGGCCAGTCCAGACCTTTGAGTTATGTTATTCCATGCTATCCAGTCATATCCAACTTTCCAAGGTATGTCAGATATTTAACTAGTTGTATTAGCATTACCACCACACCAAGAGTTTCCATTGACAAGTGGTGATATAAACCAGGTTTCTTGATTTGTAATCCATCACTATACAGTATACACTATAGTGTATGCATTACTGAAACAGCAACGTCTACCTTGGCTTGGGCATGTCATGGGAATGGCTGACTGTCGGATTCCAAAAGATGTCCTGTATGGAGAATTAGTGCAGGGAAATCACCCCAGAGGGAGACCACAGCTGCGATACAAGGACATCTGCAAGCGGGATCTGAAGGCCTTAGGAATGGACCCCAACAGATGGGAAACCCTGACATCTGAGCCTGGAGGCAGGAAGTGCATCATGGCCTCTCCCAATTTGAAGAGACCCTTGTCCAGCAGGCCGAGGCAAAAAGGCAGTCACGAAAGCAGCAAAATCAGGGCGCTGTATAGGGCAGAGAATGTGTCTTCAGTGTGGAAGGGATGGTGACTCTCAAATAGGCCTTCTCAGCCACACGAGACACTGTTCCAAAACCTCCATACAGGGCATGTTACTATAGTCTCTTGAGACTGAAGGGTGCCTACACAATCCATCACTCTATCTACTACACCACAGTGGCCCTCCTACCATACCATATCACACCTTAACATACACTGCCCTACTTGACTATGCTAGACTATGCTTTTGTTGTTGTTCTTTAGTCGTTAAGTCATATCTGACTCTTCATGACCCCATGGACCAGAGCGTGCCAGGCCTTCCTGTCTTCCACTGCCTCCCGCAGTTTGGTCAAATTCATGTTGGTTGCTTCGGTGACACTGTCCAACCATCTTGTCCTCTGTCATCCCCTTCTCCTCTTGCCCTCACACTTTCCCAACATCAGGGTCTTTTCCAGGGAGTCTTCTCTTCTCATGAGATGGCAAAAGTATTGAAGCCTCACCTTCAGGATCTATCCTTCCAGTGAGCACTCAGGGTTGATTTCCTTCAGAATGGACTACATTAGACTATGCTGTATACTGCTACATAAAACTTAAGGTTTAAGCTGATGGGGACCTTATATAGACAGGGCTACTGGTTGTGAAAGTCATTTTGAAGACTTGGGTAAGCATGTACATCCATATGAAATACACTAGGAAAATTTCCTTTATTCTTTACTCATCAAAAAATTGTCATAGTCTGTCAGAGAAACTATACCACTTATTAGTTCAATCTCATCATGACACTCCATTAGAGATAGGACACTAAGGCAAAAAAGACATACAGTGGTGCCTCGCTTAACGAGCGCCCCATTTAATGATGAATCCGCACAGCGATTTGTTTTTTGCGATCGCAAAAGCGATCACATTGCAATGTTTTCAATGGCTAAAAATCGCTTTGTGATGATCGGTAAGTGTTTCGCTTACTGATTATTGCATTGCGATGTTTAAAAAACAGCTGATCGGCGGTTCCAAAATGGCTGCTAGAAAAAATGGCTGTGTGCTGTGTTTTTGCACCCTTTCCTCGCTTACCGAGCAGTGAAAATGGCAGCTGGATGGAGGGTTTTCGCATAACTGTGAGTTTTAAGCCCATAGGGTTTAATGCGTTCCTATGGGCTTTTTTGTTCCGTATAGCGACGATTCCACATAGCGACGATTTTTCCAGGATGGATTATAGTCGCTATGCGGGGCACCACTGTATTTCCCCCACCAATTTTATTTATAGAGACATTGATACTTCTATATACACATTATAATGATACTTGTTTTAAATGATATGCAAATATTTCATATTGGATCACTGATACCTAGCAGAGGAACCTTGGAAGAAACATAATTAAGGTATGGGAATGAATCAGTCATCGGAACGCTTCCTCCTTACTAGATGTTCTCTGCTGTTCAACTCAGGCTTCAGCAGTATAATATAGCATTTGGGGGAAAAGATGCAACCCAGTAAACCAGTACTAGAGGCTAAGATGGAGAAGATCTCCACAGCCACCATGTATTTCCCCTTGGTGCTCAGATAGGCTGGGACAAATGATAGCCAAACACTGCAAAAGACCAACATGCTGAAGGTGATGAACTTGGTTTCATTGAAACCATCTGGTAATTTCCTAGCTAGGAAAGCCACGATGCAGCTGATGATGGAGAGAAAGCCTAGGTAGCCCAAGACAAACATGGTGACTGACCCTTCATTACAATCCACTACAATTTCTTTGGGGATCAAGTATTTGTTGTAATCTGGGTAAGGGGGAGACATAGCCAACGAAATAGAGCAAAGGGATACCTGCACAAGAGAGCAGCCCCAGACAATATAATGGGCCAACTGTTTCCCCACCCATTGGTGAAAAATGTTTCCTGGCTTGGAAGCTATGAAAGCCACAACCACAACAATGGTTTTGGCTAAAATGGAAGAAATGGCAAGGGCGAAAACAATGCCAAACGATGTTTGTCTCAGGACGCAGGTCGCCTTTTGGGGCCAGCCAATGAATAGCAGGGAGCAGAGAAAGCAAAGGAGGAGCGAAATAAGAAGAAGGTAGCTGAGGCTTCGGTTGTTGGCCTTGACGATGGGAGTGTCCCGTTTCTTAATGAAGACTTCAAGCACCATAACTGTGATCAGAGCGAGGAAAAGAGCCAGAGAAGCTAAAACGATACCCAGGGTTTCTTCCCAAGACAAGAAGTTTAGAGTGTTTGGAATGCATTGAGTTTTGTTCTGGTTTGGATATTGATCATCCGGGCAGGTGGTGCAGAAATCCATGTCTAAAAGAGAAAAGTACACCTACATTCAAGGTCTGAAAATCATTTTGGAATGTACCTTTACAAGGATTCACCTTGGCAATTTTTGTTTGCAATCCCCAAAGCCATTAAATCTGCATGGGGTAGCACCTGGGATATTCTATTTTGTTGGAATATTCACACAGGTTAAAATATATGAAGCACAGATACTGCAGCATTTCTAACTTTTTAAAGTTTTAAGCCCATTCTCCGGATTTCAACCTTTTGCCACAAACAGAAACACCCTGGAGGATCGTGTGTGCATGCTGTGAGGTACATAGGTATCCCTGCAATGGAATCTATTAGGGAGGAAAAGAAAAACAGTGTGCCAATTTTCTCAGTAGAACATAAGGCAGCCTATTGGAGAAATTAAAAAACTGTACTTGGAGAAGTGTTCTGAATTCATTGGGGCCAAGAAATAACTTGCAAAAGGAAAAGCTTGTTCTAGTTTTAGGTGTTGTTCATTCCATTTTTCATTTTCTGAACCTAGATGTCTTTTGGAGTCCGAAAATACCTCACAAGTCACACAGTCCACGTTTTTCTTGTCGTAATGCATGGAAACTAAAATACTTCACTGTATATAACCTAGTATTGAATAATTTCATAACTCTGTTGAAACTTCAAAGTTGATGTTTCATTGAATTAAGTTTATATGTTTCTAAGACACCTGAACCATTGTTTCGGTATTTCCCAACTCAAGACCCTTTGAATCCCTAATACCAATTAAAAAGAGTTTGTAATAATAATGTACTGTATTTCTTGTGGATCAGAAGAGTAACAAAAGAGGTTTGGACATAGATGTTGAGTAATGAATACAAAATACAGTGGTGCCTCGCTTAACGATTGCCTCATTAAACGACAAATCCACTTTACGATGAGGTTTTTGCGATTGCTAAACAATGTTTAGATAGGGAAAATTCACTTGATGATGATCGGTTCCCTGCTTCGGGAACTGATTTTATGCTAGACTATGATTCTAAAACAGCTGATTGGTGGCTCTAAAATGGCCACCCGCTGTGCAAAATGGCTCCCCGCTGTGCTTTAGGATGGATTCCTTGCTTTACAGGCACTGGAAAATGGCTGCCCTATGGAGGATCTTCGCAAAACGAGCAGGTATTTAGCCCATTTTCAATGCATTTCAATAGGTTTTTAAAATTCACTTGGCGAGGCACCACTTCCTTAAGTTATGTTTCCGGTTGCCAAGAGGCCCAGAATCTGTCCATGAGAGAAATGAATGTAAGTTCTGTATCTCACATTGTGTTGACAGTCACACATAATTGTCCCAAGGTATTATTAGATTCATCAGGAGGTGTCCTGGTTCCAGTCGCACCGTGCTAACCTTCTGTTTGCACAGGATTGTAGGAGACCTTTGACTTCCCTGTTACGTCAATATGGGATAGTGCTATTGCAGTGAACAGGGTTTCTGCTTTCCTCAAAGAGGTCCAGATGCCTCCTTGCTCAAGCTCAAAAAAATCAAATATTGCTTGTGCTGTAGATGGTTGTACCCATGGAATGGTCAAAGAGGATTCTAGTTCTGCTGTTTCTCAGGGATCTCTTACCTGTCTGGATCGCAACTTTCCCTTCTGGACACAAAGCACACTCATAGCAACAGAATTTCTGCCCTTCCTTCTTTTTCTTGCTGGAACCAGGACGACATTTGTCATTGCACAGAGAAGATGGTGGCGCCTACACTTGAACAAAGGAAGACATAAGGAGAGAGAAGACGTTGGAGGGAACATTGCTATAAAAATGTACTGGTAATTAAAAGAGAGGATGACATAGAATTCTAATGTGTACTCTGATGGTGACGATGGGGGTTATGCATTGCATAAGGATTCCTAGCTAAATTAAAGGGATCGGGGATCAAATGATGTGGGAAATCCTTGGCATGTGAACCTATAAACTCAGTGACAGTAAGGAGCATCATCCTTTGTTTGATGAGAGCCGCGAGTCAAATTTAAAAGAGTTGAATCATGATGATACTGTGTGAGATGGAGCTTTATGAATAACCTGCTTGATCCTAGCGATCGCAAAGTTAAAGGTTCCCCTTGACAATTTTTGTCCAGTCGTGATCGACTCTAGGGGGCGGTGTTCATCCCCGTTTCCAAGCCATAGAGCCAGTGTTTTGTCCGAAGACAATCTTCCGTGGTCACATGGCCGGTGCGACTTAGACACGGAATGCCGTTACCTTCCCACCGAGGTGGTCCCTATTGATCTACTTGCATTTGCATGCTTTCGAACCGCTAGGTTGGCGGGAGCTGGGACAAGCAACGGGCGCTCACTCCGTCGCGTGGATTCTATCTTAGAACTGCTGGTCTTCTGACCCTGCAGCACACAAAGGCTCCTGCGGTTTAGCTCGCAGCACCACCACGTCCCTTGATCCTAGAGTGGGCCAAAGATGGACATGAGTTGTAGGAAGTGTAGTAACTACCTCTGGACCAGTGAGCGTGTCTATTCTTTCCAACAAGGCAACCTTTGATAGATAGGGCAAAAGTGGGGTTAAGTGGACTTCCATAAAGATAAACAAATGGGTCCTAGATCAAATGAAACCTGAACATTCGCTCGAGCAAAAAAGGATGTAACTGAGGCTGTCCTTCTTTGGACACATCATGAGAAAGCATGATTCTCTGGGAAAGGTAATAATGATGCTGGGTAAGGTGGAAGGCAGCAAGAAAAAAAAAGGAAGACCCAATACATGATGGACTGACTCCCTAAAGATAACCATCACCTTTAGGTTTACAAGAACTGAGCAGGGCTGTGGAGGACCGGACATTTTGGAGATCACCCCATGGAATGTCACAACTCTATGCATCCCATTGTTGCTTTGTTTTCGGAGAGTGGAATGATACTAGAAGAACTGGTAGAAGCCATCCCTGTTCACTAGGACCCTCATCGTTGTTTGCTCCCTTCCACTGAGAGATACATTATTTTTCCTTTTAAAAAGTCAAGGTGAAAAGTTTTTCTCCTCTAAGGGCGCATAGCTTGTCAGCAATGAGGTGTCATAACAAAACTTGTTGAAAAACTGTGTATATGTCAGTTATACACATTACAAGTAGAATGTTTTTATTGGCCAGAATCCTACCTGTATTTGTGTAAGGTTTGCCTAACGTACTGCGTTTCCCTGAAAATAAGACAGGGTTTTATATTAATGTTTGCTCCAAAAAAGCATCAGGGCTTATTTTCAGGGAATGTTTTATTATTTTCATGTACAACCATCTACATGTATTCAAATATGGTCACGTCATCTTCTTCTAGTTGTTGCACAATGGTGGAGGACAGAGTTTGACTTCACTGGGGCTTATTTTTGGGGTAGGGCTTATATTACGAGCATCCTGAAAAATCCTACTATGGTTTATTTTCAGGTTAGGTCTTATTTTCGGGGGAATAGGGTACTACAAGAAATGATGGCTAACTGATGAGGTGCCTGAGAATGTTCTGGTCTTCCACCTGGTTGGACACTTGACTGGGTAAAAGAGATAGGCCTTGGAATGTCATCAATTAGCTACAATTAGCCACTGCAAGTTACACAAAAATTACATCAACAGCAATAGCATTACAGTCAATCATGATAATCTCACAGACCATTGGAAAACTATGAAGGCAGTCATTTAAAGTTATCTTCACACCTGGGTGAAACCTTGATGCCACTGGATGTTTTCCACATCGATGGAGAACGCCTGCGGATCCAGCCTTCCCACTTTGACTCGGACGTAGGAGTTATTTGGGAAAGTGACCAAGTTGGTAAAATCAAAACCAGCTGCAAAAGCCCCATATTCATTAAACATAATCTTGTCTCCGGCACTGTTGTTGAATGAAACCTTCTGAATCAAAGAATGAAGCTAAAAGGGAAGAGGAAAGCATGGAATGATTAAAGGGTTAAAAACCATCCTGTTCGTTTAATATTGGCATTAATAAGATGTCATCTTGTCTCACAAGACAAGACAACTGAAAGCTAAGGCTGATAAATGTAAGAGACATATCTATCATCAGGAGAGAACTTTCAGGTGTAGAAATGATGGACGAGGTGCCTCAATTTAGATGCCATTTATTTGGTAAAGGTAAAGCTTCCCCTTAACATTTAGTCTAGTCATATCCAACTCTAGGGCGCGGTGCTCATCCCCGTTTCCAAGCCATAGAGCCAGTGTTTGTCCAAAAACTGTTTCCATGTTCATGTGACCAGCGCAACTAGACACAGAACTCTGTTACCTTCCCACCGTGGTGGTACCTATTTATCTACTCGCATTTTAAAATGCTTTCGAACTGCTAGGTTGGCAGGAGCTGGGAGAAGCAATGGGAGCTCACTCTGTCACGTGGATTTGATCTTACGACTGCTGGTCTTCTGAACTTGCAGCACAGAGGCTTCAGCGGTTTAACCCGCAGCGCCATCACGTCCCCACCATTTATTTGAAGTCATTGCAAATAATGTAACTTTATCAGGTAATAGTGTTGACAAGAAAACATTCACATGGAGACCCTGAAGAATAAAAAAGCCAATAGTATTCTGAGAGTAATACTTTCAATCCACTGTCTAGACTCTGGTTTTGCCATCATTTCAGGAGACACCTTACCTGCCATGACTCCATGTGATGACGATCAGACCTTCTCTGATTCCTCCTTGCTTTGGTACGAAATCTAGATGAATACATCTCCTGAAGGGCATGAGCCAGAATATACACAGCATTGTAGATACTGTAGCTGTGTCCAGTCATGCTCATTTCAAAAAAGGGGGCAGGAAGGTCCTCTAACCTTTCCTCTCCGGTACACAATTCAGTGGGGTCTACTGGAGTGCTGGAATCAGAGAGGACACAGTCAAAGGCTTGCTCCCAGAAATCCTTGATAAAACCATTGCTCCTTTCATCAGAAGGATGGATATTCTGAAGGTATTCTTTGAAGCCTGGAACTTCCCTTGAGTGGATGGTGAAAGACAGAGCACCATGGAGAGTCTGTATATCAGTCCCCTTTTGCAGGACATGCAAAATGACATCAAGCTGTGCTGTCAGTATCCACACTTTGACCACAGGTCTCCTGTCCTCTAGAGGAGTCATCATGTTCACCATGAAAAGAAAAGTCACCCATGTAATCATTTCCGCTTCTCCGTATATGATAACTGCATTGGCTTCGCTGCTCATTAAAACTTCTAACTTGCTGACTAAAGCTACTATTTCCGGTAACTGTCTGATACTGAGATTGTTAGGAAAAATCTCTGCGAAGGCCGAACATATTCCATTTTGGGTGAGCAGTTGCTCCAAGGTGGATAAGAAATGTTCCCCAACTTGAGTTCCCTTTGAGATGATCGATACCCACTTCCATCCAAAATACAGAAGCAATTGGATAATTCCCTGATTCTGCAGGTCCTCACTGGGAACCATATGATAAAAGGAAGGAAGGTTGTTCTGCTCACTGATCCCTGTTTTAGAAGAGCCATAAGAAAGCTGCATGAATAAACGGAACACATTTCAGAGAGAGGGCAAAGAGTCAACATAATTTATTATCTTGAATGTGAAAGCTGTAAGATGCGCTAGTAGTGATGCATTTACAGAGTTTGTGCTACCATAGTGTTGAATGCCTTTTCTGTTGCACTAGGTCTTGTGCTCATTGCATAGACCTCATGCTTACACTTGTGGTGATAGTGCAATAAAGTAACCCAACTTTATTGGGTTATGATCACACTAGGCGTGAGTTTAAATGTAGATCTTTTTCTGATTCATCAAATTCCAAACTCTGAGAGGAGCACATAGAAAGAGAAACTTTATTTTGGCTGACGTTTCTGAAGACTATTCAGCTATTTTAAATTCCTGAAGAGTCTGTGGTCAGGAATTCCGTCTGCTAAAATGAATGGGGAGGGATGGAGAGTCCTCCATTCCCTGTTCAGAAGTTGACCACGGAAAAAGCTAGTATGCTTTTTGGTCGCAAAACAATATTTTTTATTTGCTTGCAATTAAAATACCCAACTACTTCTATGGTTGGGATAACTTCTCACATTACCAAGGGAAGAGCTAGGTCTTACACATGAAGACACCGTTAGGAAGAGAAATGGAAGGGCTTGAGAAAAATAATGTTAGGAAAGAGAAGTGAGAAACTAAGCTACAGAAATGTTGTCAGTGACCAGCAGGTTACTGCATAGAATCATAGAATCACAGAATAGTTGAGTTGGAAGGGGCCTACAAGGCCATAGAGTCCAACCCCCTGCTCAATGCAGGAATACATATCAAAGCAGATCTGACAGATGGTTGTTCAATTTTATCTTGCATGCTTCCATCATTGGAATGCTCATCACCTCCGAATGGCATTGGTCCCACTGTCATACTGCTCTTACAGTGAAGAAGTTTTTCCTGATATTCAGCCTAAATTTGGTTTTCTGTAGCTCGAGTCCATTGTTACATATGCTGCACTCTGGGATGATCGAGAACAGATCCTGCACTTCATCTCAACGATTGCCTTTAAAGTATTGGAAATGTTCTGTCATATATCCCCCTCGGTCATGTTATGCCATCTTTCTGTTGCCAGGCCATGAGGATCAACCTTTGTTCTTGAAGAAATTATATGGGTCAAAATTCCATGCTCCGAGATGCTGCTTTGCCTCTACTGCTCTGTTACTTGGTATAGCTATGTGAAATTGAAAATGAGGGCAATGTCACCACAGAGCTATAGCTGTGGTTGCTAGTAGGGTTCATCCTGTTCCTATGAAAATTCTACAGCCCTCATTCTGCAGCTTGTTTTCCTTTTCCTTCTGTGGGCCCAAGAAGGCCTGGTATCATTGAAAAGAAAAATAGTTCTTTCTACCACTACCAGTCACAATAAAAGAGGTTTCTCCAGATTTTTATAAGCCATGGGCATGCCTCCACATAAAAGCTACAGTATTATAATCAACATCAAATAGAGAATTGCTAGAGAACTGAAGAAGCAGGTTTTTTTTAAACAATCCCACGGTTTGCCATTATTTTGATGAGAAATCCATGAAAACCTTGCTCTACATTTAATGAAAGGCATCTTTTTATGGAGAAAGGTGAGGAAAAATGTATTAAACAATGAACAAACAAACAAACGTTTGTGTGGATTGATTTTGAAGTCTAAAAGGCGCAAAAACATTTCTACCATTTTCCTAAGACCTGATTGTCAGGATGGGGCCACCACCCTCAAGAAGGCAACCTGGTAGCAGCTTGCCTCCCCGAACATCGTTAGACGGTGATAAGAAAAATGATGACCTAAGGAAGCAACATTACAAAGTCTCTCCGAAACACTCTGGAATGATGTGTATCAGTTCAGAGAGATTAAAAGAAGGCCAGGCAGGCAGGCAGGCAGGCAGGCAGGCAGGCAGGC